TTAGACTACTTAGTAATGATGAACTGTGTTGAACCAGAGATTAATGGCAACTACTCTGAAATAGCCTATTAGGATTGGTGTATTTCTAACATTTGGAGTAGAAGTATTCCTACTAAGTAGCTTCCAAACACTTATCTTATGGTACTGTTAGTGATTGAAGCCTTAGTATCCACAGTTTTGATTGGGACTCAAGCTTAATTACAAAGAACAGAATTTCCTTTTGTTATGCATCGTAATTGTGCAATGAGCATTGCTTTTTCTACTTCTTTCTTAATGCCACAAAGAAAAACCATACCTGAATTACTAAACTCAAAGTAGTTTTTATTTGGCCCCGTGAGATCTCCCTAGCAAGTGGAAATGTCTTCATGATTGTTGAGACTTTTAATAGAAGTTAAAAGAAATAAAAAATTTCTTACCACTTTTATATGCTAATTCTCAGCTGTTTATTTTTTAAATATACTCTGAATGATAAGACTGTTCACTTTCATATCACTACCTTTTAAATTAGGTAAAAGGAGCTATTATCCCAACTTTTTAAGTGAGTTTAAGATGTATGGTCTACTTCACACAAACTTAATATGTGATAGGTTGAAAGAGAACTCAACCCTGGTTTTGTGATTCCTTGACCCATGTTCTTTTGGCTACATAATTTTGAATTTATGCTTTGTTCATTGAACTCAACCTCACTACCCCTTTTTTAAAAGCATAGTTCCAACATGATAAAGGTGAAGAGGGAGTTTCAACAAATGGGTTTCTATTACATACAAGTAAGCATCCAAGATAAGTTTTGAAGTCAAGAAGGCAGAACCTGTAGGTATAGTAGGTGGAGCTCTGAGCAAATAAAAAGCTCATTTTGCTTATCCAGGGATCTATTGCTGCTGGAGAAAGAACGGTGGCAGAATAGTTTCCCTGTTGTTCAGCATGTAGTTTAGTCTGCAAGGCTAAGCTAAGTAAATAGATTGTTGGCTGACTGAGCAAACTTAAGTTTAAGAGTTGGGGAAGCATGGCTGTTGCTAAACAAGAATCTATGCCTCCATCTGATTTTGATACTTGTCTTCCTTACGCTGTGGGCTGACTCTGTTAATTTATATCATATCCACTTCCCTTCATTTTTCTCTTAACTGTAACAAGTCTTACTCTTTCTTTTTCGGATGGATTTTACAAAGAAAGATTTTTGCTCAGTATTTGTCATCATAAATTCTCATTGCTGCTGCTGCCCTCAAAAGGTTTCTGTAAGTGAGGTGGGTAAGAATTTCCAATTTATTTTTAAGGCCATATTGTAGCTTTTTTGATGACATTATATAGAAAGTTTCAGTTTAAGTACTGAAATTGTTAATTTCAGAGTGCTTTTAAAAATATTTGTTGTTATGTATTGTATTTTGTGTGAGGAGGAGGTAGCCTTTTCTCAATTCTGAATGATTAGAAAAGGTTTTACTTTAATAAAGAGATAGTTAATGGTATTCTGAATTTAAGCTTTTTAGTATTTATTTTTTCTGTCTATTTATTTTGAGGCAGGGTCTTGCTATGTAGTTCAGACTAGCCTTGAACTCACTATGTAGCCCAGGCTGCCCTCAAACAGCCAGTTAGTGGCTGACTCTGGGTGAATGGAGTGAGAAGATTGTGTTTCCTTAGTAAGCTTTAGTTTTAGTCTATGTAAGATTGACCCAACTTATATACCCTCATACTCTTTGGGTTTTGTGTTTCTTACCCTCATTTGTGATAGGTGGGGAATACTTTGCTTTTTAAAATAAGACTGAGTGGGGACTATATCAAGGAAAAAGAAAAGGATGACATTTGGAGGATTGTCTGGCTTCAATTTGAAGCCATCTCTGAGGTACATAAACTAAAAGAAAGTAAGATAATTTTTGTTATAAAAACATTTTGTTACTGTTACTTTGTTCTTTCTGATGCTAAAAATCATGGCTTAGAATAATGTAGACCAACTTAATTTATAAAAAATACAGAATTCTCATGTCAAGAAGAAGCCCATGAATGAGTATAATAAGTATATAAAAAAACTGTAATTGTTTGTTTATTTTCAACAAGTTTCTATTTTATTTCTCAGTTGACTCCCCCCCAACTGGGAGATTGAACCAGGGTGTCCTCTACCACTGAGCCACATCCCTAGTTCTTTTCTGTTTTTCATTTTGAGAGAAAGTCTTGCTAGGTTACTAGGCAGGACTTGAACTTGTAATCCTCCTGTCTCAGCCTCCCTGAATACTGAGATTATAGGTATATGTTACCATGCTCAGCTTCCCAGCTGACTTTTTCATAGGTTACTTCAGGGCAGTGAAGTTTCATTCCTATTCCGAAATACACCTTACTTGATCATCTTTTTTTGTGGGGGGGTACCCGGGATCCAACTCTGGACCTTGAGCTTTCGAGGCAGGTGGCAGAACCACTGAGCCCAGCCCCTTGATCATCTTTTAATACACAGTTTATAAATTCTTGCTTCTCCCCAACTTACTCAAAAAACCTTTTCTAGGTACTGTATTTGATCATATTGGTTTCTTGATGATAGCTGACTAGTGAAATTTTTTCTTACATAAGGCAGCAGTTGCATCTGAATGTTTTTACTGGTGTATGGAATTATCTGTACTTTAAAAGGTAGTCACTATCATAGCTATAGGTTAAGAGAGTAGCATAACCTAATAGATTTGAGTTAAATTATGTACAATTTTGGCTTTGTGCTGTCTTTTATGTATTTTGTTCAATTTCTGTTCCTACTTGCAGATAGAGATTCTTATTTGTAAAGACAGGAATGTGTAATATTTGCATGAATAGGATTAACAAAAGGGTTATTTATTTAGGAAAGTCAAGAATAAAAGCAAGTTAAAGAGTTTTTATTTTCTGGCTGGGATTTAGTTCAGAGGATCTGGAGCCTGCCTCGCAAGTGCAAGGTCCTGAGTTCGATCCCTGGTACCAAAAAAAAAAAAGACTTTTTATTTTCTTTTTACCCCTAAGTTTTATTATCATTGCCAATTGCCTTTGAGTAGCCTTGGATCAGCAAATCTAATAATTCAAAGAGCTTTCAGCCTAGATAAGACATTTCATTCCCACTTCTGTGAATTTTGGTAGATAAGTTGATATTGAGCCTATGTGTGAGACAGGAAATCTGAAGCCCAGGACTACTGCTGCTTTCCTGTTAGTACTGAATTCAAGTCTTCTGTTGTTACATCTTTTTTTTTTCCAGTGTATGTATGCTACATTGAAACAGAAGAATCAGTACATGTTTGCTGTATTAATTTAATATGTAGAATTTTCTCGCCAATAAGCCAAACACATTTCCCTGAAATATATGTATTTGTGGAAGAAGAACCATTTTTTTTTTCATCAAATTCTGTTTTCTCTTTAGCCACTTTTCTGTAGCATTAGAACTGTCTTTACTTGCAAAATTCAATTATATGGGACAGTCCAACCAGTTTACCAAACTGTCAGATAAATTTTTGCCAGTAGTAAATGTTCTACAAATTTAATACACAGCATTTCAGGTAGTTCTTAACCATTATTCTTATAAATAACATTTTTTAAAGTTTACTTTATGAAGTTGTTGGCTTTTTTTTTTTTTTTTGTAGCTTTGTTTCAGCATTGGGGATTAAACCCCGGGATGATTTACCACAGAGCTACATCCCCACCCCTTTTTTATTTTTTTGAGACAAGGGCTTGACAAGTTGCCCAGGTGAGAATTGAACTTGAAATCCTCTTGCCTCAGCCTCCCAAAGCATTAAGATTACAGGCATACACCACAGCATCTGTCTTCACTTATACAGTTTTACTTGTTATTGTAAAAAAGAAACAAATATAAAACAAAATATTCAGCCAACAATTTCATAAAGTAAACTTTTAAAAATGTTATTTATACGAATAATGGTTAGAACTATTGTATTTCATTTAGCTCTAAGAAAGGTTATGTACATTTCTGGGATTTATTAAAATTAAATTGTTACTAATTTTCTTTTACTACAATTTTGACTATATCTGTCACTGAGAACATAGAGATGATTAGAATTTATATATATTCAGTAAACTTTTCTGTGTTAATGGAAGTATAATGTCTATGTTAATAGATGTATAGCACCACTTGGATAATGTATTGGTGTAGCTACTTCACCTCTTAATCCATATAATCACTTAAGTGAAATGGGAAAAAATAATGAGTTTTTCCTTTACTCTTTTAATAGTAGTAGTTTGTTCTCATTTATGCTTATTTTCCACACATTGGTGAAAGTTTTATTTTCAAAAAACTTACCACTTTATGAAGATTCTAAACTATCAGAATGAGCCTCTAGTTATTTTTACATAGAATAGTGATGAATTTTCTTCTGAAAGTAATTGCAATGCTTATATTTCATGTGAGTCTGATATATCACTGTTAATTTTATGTTTTTGTTTTTTTTTCTTTTGGTACTGGGGATTGAACTCAGGACCTTGCACTTGCAAGGCAGGTGCAGTGCCACTGAGCTAAATCCCCAGCCCTTATGTTTTGTTTATGTAAGATAACTCTTCAGCTATTGTACCAAACCAGTATAAGCCTTTAACTCATTATATACTAGTTGAGTTCTTGAAAGAGTACTGCAATCGTATAATGACCGCCAAATTGTGTGAATTCATACTCATATGTGTGTTCACTATTCAAAATAGTAATTGCTGTATTGATTGATATGTTAGCATACAACGTTGAACAAAAGATCTACTAACCACCAGTAGGGACACTTGGGCTTCGTTTTAGCCAGTAACTTCCTTGGGAAAAAGTTACCATCAGTTTAAGTCTTTCATTGCCACAGACGGAAGTAAGTGACCCCACTGTCACACAATTCCTTGTTGTTTTCTTGTGAGAAGCTAAATTATCCACCTCATCCTGCATGGATCTACTCCTGCAGCTTAATCAGAAAAAAAAGGGGGGGAACCCTGTAGAACTTAATTATAAATTAGAAGACTAAGTTCAAAGACCCTGCTTTCACCAATGTGTATTTGTGGCTATTTTTTTTTTTGCTTTTTAGGGAGTGAAGCCAGCCAGTTTTGACAAAGTAGCAATTCCTGAAGTAAAGGAAATTATTGAAGGGTGCATAAGACAAAACAAAGATGAAAGGTAAGTTGCCTCTTTTGACTTGGTGTTGCTTGAAAAAACCCAAAACACAGTGTCCTCTGAATACAACACTCAATCTGATGGGTATTTAATACTTGTGAGTTCTTCTGTTTATACTATGTAATATTTTAAAAGTAGGGCTGTCTTGATTAAAGCTGTTCACATTCTTTGTACTGAAACAGTGAAAATTGTGGGTTAGTGGAGGTTAAGTAAACCAGAACTACCTTAAGCATAGTTTCCACATTTGATGAGAGCTACTTATAGCATTACTATGATTTATAAAACTCAATAGAGTTCATTCCCTAGTACAGCAAACCCATGCCATAGTACTATATCCATTGAATTCTAAAAAGTAAAATAAAATCTTGGTGCTGGTTTCTTTGTTTTTATCAGAGGCATAAGCAGATTTATTTAGCAGAAGCAAAGAAGTACACACTCAGAAAAAACTGCAGCCATCGGAGGAGTGAGGTGCCAAAATTTTGGCTCTTTAAAATTAATTCAACTATGCAGGTCTTGATTTCCCGTCATTTTGCCAGAATCAAAGAAGAGCAAAACATCAGAATTCCTCTGAGTAAAGAGAGGACTTTGCCCAGGGCTTAAGAGGAGATCTGGCTTAGCATTTATACCAAAAGAAGACTTTTCTCAGAGGAGTGGCAAGTACTTGATCTGCCATATAGCTGATTCATAACCTTTTATGCACAGCTGGGGTCCAATATTTGTTTTTGAAAAATAATCTACCTTCACCGTCCCCTCATACCTGCCAAAAAGGAAAAAATACGCCAACCTAGTACAAATACAAATTGTAAACTGAGCATAATCTACCTCCTGAAGAATGGGAGCTAATCAGGTATATCAGCCACATTGAGGAATTCCATATCTTTACTTTTCTAGTTACATATTCTTTTTCATAACTTTGTTATTTGGAAGAACAAACATCATGCTCTTTAAGATATTTTAGGAGATTATTTAGTTTGGGTTTCTATTTTTATGTACACTGAGTCTTTAAATCTGTTTAAAAACTTTTTTCTTATAAACAAAGGAATATTTGTTTTGGATCTTAAAACATACTACTGTTTCTTTTCTGTATGGAACAGTTTACTAGTATTTTGGAATCCTTATATCTAAAGATTATTTTACAATTAGACTTCTGCTTGCCTAATCCACAAATTGTTGAACAAGGAATTGAAAGAATTTTATTAGAATAAATAAAGGTTTCTTTAGTAGAAAGCATCAAAGTAGAAATCAAAACATTTATGATCTTGGTTTGATGCTATCATTTACAAATTTTAAATCTATCAGCAAGGTCTCAACCTTTCTGAGTCTTCATTTCCTAATCATTAGGAGATGATATCTCATTGAATGTTGTTACTCAAGGATTAGATAATGTCATACATAAGAGGATTTATTTATTGTTACTTATAATTGAAATGCTTAAAAAGGGGGGGGGGGCTGGGAATTTAGCTCAGTGGTTCCGCTGTCTGCCTCGCAAGTGCAAGGACCCGAGCTCGATCCCTGGTACCGAAAAAAAAAAAGAAGAAGAAATGCTATACATTTGATTATGTGGTATTTTCAAGCTTTGACAGGCTATGATTTTAAAATGCTCATTATCTGATGGTCACACCTGTGATCCTAGCGTTCTAGAGACTGAGGCAAGAAGATCAAAAGTTCAGCACCAGCCTGGATGACAATAAAAAAGTTTTTTAGAAAGCCATTATCAGTTCTTACTCATAAATCAGATCATTATAATGTTGGTAACTTAAGTACAACTCACAAACCATTCAAATGGAATAATATAGAAATAAATTATAAATCTTCCCTTTTCAGTCTTTTTTTTCTCATGTAACAATAATCAGCCATATTTAAACATTTATCTTTTCAAGCTTTGCACAGCGGTGTGTGCCTGCAGTCCCAGCATTCAGGAGAGTGAGGCTGGAGAACCACTTGAGCTGAGGAATTCAAGACCAGCCTGGGCAACATCTCAAAAGGAAAATTATCTTTTCAAGTTAATGACGTCTTGTTTTTGTTTCTTTTTCTTTTCCTTCTCTTTGGAAGATATTCCATCAAAGACCTTTTGAACCATGCCTTCTTCCAGGAGGAAACAGGAGTACGGGTAGAATTAGCAGAAGAAGATGATGGAGAAAAGATAGCAATTAAATTATGGCTGCGCATTGAAGATATTAAGAAATTAAAGGGAAAATACAAAGACAATGAAGCTATTGAGTTTTCCTTTGACTTGGAGAGAGATGTGCCAGAAGATGTGGCTCAAGAAATGGTAAATTGGCACTAATCTACCATTTAAAAGTTTATGTAGATTTATATACATTGATACTGTTGAGCAAAAAAGTAGTTTATGAAGTGATGTGTGTGGCATATCCCATTAGCATAAAAAAGTCCCTTCTTTGTACTTTTTTTGCATTTTTTTATAATGGATGTGGGATACTTCTTAAAAGCTGTTTGTATTTGAGGAAAAAATATACATAGAGAAGGATGAGATAAAGAACAAATTAGAATTCATTCTAAAGTCATTTTGAAACCCTGTAAGGTCGAATGGTTTCTAATTTGTATAAGACTCTTCAGTTAGAATGAAAGTTATATTTTAAAATATTGGTTAGCCTTTGATGAGTCAGATAAACCCTATAAATAGACACAATTATAAATTATTTTTACTTTAAAATCAGTTATTAATAGGCACCCTTTGGTGTATCGTATTTCAAGTATGTCTTAGGGTCACTTTTTTTAAATGAAACTATCATGTTTAGGCTTGACACAATGTCTAAAATAGTCAATTATTATGCAAAGATACTCATAGAATATCTCTACTAGGATTTATAAGAACCATTCAATAGTAGTTGCCCCTGAGAAGGAGTCAGGTATGAGAGAGATATTTTTTTTTTTGGTACCGGGGATCGAACTTGGGACCTTGCTGTCTGCAAGGCAGGCGGCAGAACCATTGAGCTAAATCCCTAGCCCTGATATATATTTTTTTAAATGGTAGTGTTTTGTATTGTTTGAAGTTTTTTGGTTTTTGTTTTTTTAAGGTTTTTTTCCAGGTATTTGTGACAATTGTTTTATCTGGATGGATCAGTCTTTGCCTAGTGAAAGGAAGTAAAAGCAGCATGTGTTAATGACAACATATGAGTCAGAAATACAGTGAATAGAATAAAATATTTTACTTGTTTTAAGCGCTGTGGTTTTAGGTGCCCCATTGTTTTGATTGTCTTGAGTGAAAAGTTATATCCACCCTGGGAGTTTCTACAAAGATGGTGGCAGCCAACCCTGCAGTATCTATCACAGTGTTGGGGAAGTGTGTAATGCAGACCAATAATTGCAGTTTGTTTAAGACCACTACTGAGAGTAGCTCCTTCTCCTCTACTTTTCTACAATGTGATTTTTGTTTAATTTTGTTTGTTTGTTTTCTTTTGATATCCTGGTTTTTTTCCTAATACCCTTTTATTCTGTAGGTAGAATCTGGGTATGTTTGTGAAGGTGATCACAAGACTATGGCTAAAGCTATCAAAGACAGAGTGTCATTAATTAAGAGAAAACGAGAACAGCGCCAGTTGGTACGAGAGGAACAAGAAAAAAGAAAACAAGAAGAGAGCAATCTTAGACAACAAGTTGAACAACAATCAAGTGCTTCCCAGACAGGAATCAAACAGCTCCCTTCTGCAAGCACTGGCATACCTACTGCTCCTGCCACATCAGCTTCAGTTTCTACACAAGTAGAACCAGAAGAACCTGAGGCAGATCAGCATCAACAGCTACAGTTTCAGCAACCTAGTATATCTGTGTTATGTAAGTATTTGGGGAAGTAACAAATATGCTGATGGTGTTCTATTTGGCTTTTTCCCCCCAGTGCTAAAGATCGAGCCCAAGGCCTCATGCATGCTTAGCAAGTACTCTACCACAGACCTACACCCCGGCCCCTAAATTGACTTTTTATCTTGTTTGTTTTGGAGTAGCTTCTTGGTTTTGAATTATAAATTTAACATATAATAAGGAATTTGAAATGGTTGGTATATAGCTTCTTTTGATTCTTATGTCCATGACTAATAGAAGGATAAGACATTGAGGAAATATGATCAGAATATAAGATATTTCAAAAGTTCCAATATCTTGGGAGATTCCAGTTTGTCAATTTCTACTTTTCACAGTACTTTAAAATAAATACAGTTAATGAACAACAAATTTAGCTGCTTAAAATTAAAACTGTTAATCTAGCTCAACTCTTGCAGCAAAGCTAAACAGCATAGAGACTAAAAACTAATGTAACTGGTAGTTATTGACTGAATTAACTGCCTAATATTGAGAGCCCACAGATAAGACTTTGAATGCTGGATCAAACTTAAGGCTTACTCAGAATATTCCATTTTATTTCCCGTGCTCTTCAAGTGATTTAAGATTCTTGATAACCAGAGAATTTTTTTGGTACCGGGGATCGAACTTGGGTCCTTGCGCTTGCGCAGCAGGCGGCGAAACCACTGAGCTCAATCCCTGGCCCTCCAGAGAATTTTTTAAAAAGATATTAGAATTTTTTTCCCAAATGGATCCCTCATTTAAATATAGAAATTTACTTAATATGATTGCTATTAATTTTTTTCTTTAGTTCAGGTTTGTGCAGACAACCAGTTAACCCTAATGTAATGTCTAAAATGTTATGGGAAACGTGAACCTCCTTTTGTAATTTGTCTTTCTGTTTTTTGTTTTTGGTTTTGGTTTTGGTTTTCAATTTCAGCTGATGGGACAGTTGACAGTGGTCAGGGATCATCTGTGTTCACAGACTCTAGAGTGAGCAGCCAACAGACAGTTTCATATGGTTCCCAACATGAACAGGCACATTCTGCTGGTACAGTTCCAGGGCATACAGCTGCTACTGTCCAAGCACAATCTCAGCCCCATGGTGTATATCCACCTTCAAGTATGGTAAGTAAATGGAGAAGAGAATATAATACTACAATGAGAGCCAATAGATAATCTGCTAAATTCAAATGTTTTCTACTATCCAAGTAACAATATAAGTTTAAAGTAGAAACTATACATGTTGTACAGTCAGCCTTCCATGTCTGTGGGTTCCACAGGTGGATACAGATATTAAAATGTTAAAATTTGCATTTGCCCTGGACATGTACAGACTTTTTTGGTCATTATTCTCTAAACAATACAGTATAACAACTATTTACCAAGCATTTACATTGTACTAGGTTATTATCAGTAATTTAGAGATGATTAAAATATACAAGGTTATATGCGTAGATTATATGCAAACACTATGTCATTTTATATACTTGGGCACCCACAGATTTGGATTATGTTAGGTGGGTCTTGGAACCAATCTCCCACTGACACTGGGAGAGTGTACTGATACTGGGAGGACACCTGTATTTCTAAAGGAAATTGGTTTATTATAGAATATAATTGGAGTAGATGAAGCAGAGTAAGTTAGACTCATTGATGTGAGAATTAGCTGATCTGTCTACATGACGCTGTTACGTACAAGGTTTAGACAAGTGTATTTGATTAAAAGTAATCTCTTTTAGCTCTTAGCTAGACAGACATACAAGTGGTTTGGGGATGGGGTGAAGAGAGTTTTTCAAAAGCTTATCTATTAAAATAATTACAAAGTATTTTCTGTAAGATTTCTTACTGTATAAGACACAGGTAAGACCTTCAAACCATTATAGAATGCTGCATGTGAGTGCTCTAGAGTGAAGAAATCCTTTATTTGTATGACCATTTAATTTAGCGCTTGTATTTAATCATCAGTTGCTATGCGTGTTCCTGCCTTTAAAGTCTGTGTTGGATACAAGTCCCTTTCCCAGTATATGTTCATTTGCTTTTCCCTTTATTTGGAATATGTTATATTACTGATTTTTAGAATCAATTTATGGAGGTCATTTCCTGAATATTTTCTATGTACACACACATTATTATCCACTCTTGCTTCTCATGTAGAGAATATGAAGATAGATCATCAGATAATATCCTATGTCTTTTACTGACTCTGCCGTCTTCAGAACATAAAATACCTCATCTGTCTCAGAAAAGACTTAGAACTGGTCATTTTATAGCACTTGTCTAGTGAGATCTTTAAGCAAACTGATTTTTTCCTTCTTCTCAGATAGCTTTGTGTAATTCTTATTCTTCATTAAGTGAAAATCTTTCTCTGCAAACACTTCTGCCTGCTCTGGTCTTTTATGCTACAGCTTGAAATATGAGATTTTATTTGTTTCAGAGTCCATTGATCAGTCTGCTTTGGCTAGAGTCTCAAGATGAATGGCTACAATAACAAGGCAAACTACTAATTTGCTAATTTATTTATTTATTTTGAGAGAGGATCTCTTGCGGTATAGTTCAGGCTAACCTTGAGCTCATTGTGAAGCCCAGGTTGGCTTCAAACTTGCGGTGATCCTCCTGCCTCAGCCTCCCAAGTGCTAGGATTATAGGCATGTGCCACAACACCCAGTGTGCTAATTTTTTAAATTTACTTTCTAACCTTTGACATAATTAGATAGACTAGAAGAACTTTATAAAGACTGCATACAAAATGTATTTCTGTGTTCTGACAAATACTACTTGTCCCATTTCTTACCAGTTTTTATCTTTGTTTTAATTGATTGCTTTCTGAATCATTGTAACTAGATTTTTTTAAAACTATTTTTTAATCCCTTGGCTTCCTTCATTACATGCTTATGAACATTGATCTCTTTTAGAAAAGGAAATGGGATCATCACTTTAGAAAATATTAAATATTTGAGCCACTAACATAGCTATATTATTTGTTCCAAAAGCAGAGACTGTTTCTTGCCTTTTAATGACAATGAAATGTTCTGTGGAGGTATTATGAAGAATTGTTAAGTATTTAGAATTTTAAGGACGTTTATAACTCTATTCCTGTCTCATTCTGGAAACAACTTAATCATGGCTTATAATAATATGCAGTAAAAATTATAAGTGAAATTATGGAATGAAAATAAATAATCATGATATATACTTATAGGCAACAACTTTGGCTCAAAGCATTCTGTTGTCTCAGAGCCAATGTTGGAAAAGAAAATGTAATCACACAGTTCATAATATCTAAAGGGAAATTAACAAACTTGATTCAGGCAGCCTTACAGTGTTAGACTTACTGCTGTGTACCTATGCTAAACCATTTCTGCTAAGGTACCTCAGACTTTGCAAACCTAAGTTGGATCTCTGATATTACTGAAACTTTTAAGTTATTCTTTGGAAATTCAAATTGAAGATATTTTCCTCTTCACTATTAAAAGTACAGAATGTTTCCTATATCCAGTTTTGAGTTTCTTCTAGAAAACTAATCTTTTTTCTACTAGAGAATATTAGCAAGTATAATAAATAAAATACTGTGAGCCAATAACTTTTTTAGTCTGATTCCTTCTAAAATAGAAATAATCATGTTCTCAAGTTTCCGCAACTTTGCAAAATAATCCAGTCTTAAAACTTTCCAATCTTACAACATTCTTCACATTTGCTTGTTTAATCTTACTATTTTCAGAAACTGTAAGCTAATCATTGCTTTTCCTGCTCACTACCTTCAGTCTTATTCATACTCCTAACAGTTGGTGTTTTCTTCAGAATATTTAGATCTTTATTGTGATTGTTCATAAGAAAACTTATAGTTCACCAACAGAGAATACTAGGTGTGCCTTGGGGAATTAAATCTCTCCTTGGGAAAAAAAAACAGACTTTGCAGAATTGGAGAAGGTGGGGCATTTCTTTATGTTAACTATGCCTTGTTATCACTATACATTTGGTTATTTTGTTTTCAAAGTACTATGTTTTTCATGTGTGTTTGTTTTCTGTTTAGCCTCATCGTGGCCGTAGCATGTCGGTTTGTGTTCCCCATCTTTCTCCTGTTCCCCTTCTGTCCTGCATCTCTCCCAGTGCTCCTTCCACCCCACCACCAGTGCTGTCTGCACCTCTTTCTCCTTCCCTCCTTCGGACTGCCCCTGAGGAAACTTTTGCCGAAAAGCTTTCTAAAGCATTGGAGAGTGTCCTGCCTATGCACTCTGCCTCTCAGCGCAAGCATCGACGCTCCAGCCTGCCTTCCCTCTTTGTCAGTACTGTATGTAATTGTAAACTTCCCGGCAAATGACAAATTATTACCAATGAATACATCCAGGCAACAAGAATTGTAGTGAAAATTAAATAGAGAACAGAGCTAAACTATAAATTTGGTTATATAATATGCCTTTAGAATACCAGTTATTCCTATAAGAAACATTTTTGAAATAAGTAATTAAGGGGGAATAAAAGCAAGAAGATAAAGAGAAAATATTTATGTCATTGACACATAACAGTTATATATCCAATAAAATTGAGCTTTTATGTTTTCCTATCTTCCACTAGTGTAAGATTTTGGCATTTTCATATCATAGCAAAATGTGTATTATCTATTTTACAACCAGTTGTTGGCTTAAGCAAAAGCAAACTCTATTAAACATTACCCAAACATATTTTCTCCTCACTTTGTACTTAAAGGATAGTAAGAAAGCTGGATGAATCCATTTTTGTCATAGTCAGTAATGAATATTTGAGGAGTAAAGTTGGTTTTGATTTAATCATTTGTAGAATAATGTCAGCAAACTAAAAGTGTACTAAATGCTTTCCTTGGTTTGAATAAGATGGGACTTTGACTCCAGAGAATACATTAGATACATATATAGTATGTTTGGCTTTCTTTGACTCTATTAATGTCTATTAAAAAGCTCTTTTTCAATTGTTTTAAGTGCTGTGGGACCTTGCTGCTGCTTTTCCAGTCAAACAATATAGTTAACACTCTGGGCTAGCAACTCCAGAGTCTTTAGATTTTTATTTAGGAGAATAATTAACTGTATAATATTTATGGTTTCAGGACACACCTTGAATAAACAACAGTAAAATGAGCATTCTGATTTTAAATAGAAACCCTCTTTTAGGTATTATGGATAGTTGAGCCACTTAGTGAACATGATAGAGGTCTTCTCTACTGGTCGAATGAAACTGATCTCTTTTGAAAAAGAGTCCAGTAATCATAGCGTGTATCATTTGCATTTGGCAATGATAAATTTAGAATTGTTTTAACAAAAAGTGCTGTTAGTGCTCGCTTTGGCAGCACATATGCTAAAATTGGAATGATACAGAGAAGATTAGCATGGCCCCTGCGCAAGGATGACACGCAAATTCGTGGTGTTCCATATTTTAAAAAAAAAAGTGCTGTTAAATCAAGTTCCCTGTTGTGTGTATTACCTGTTTTGCCTAATTTGGAACCCAGCTGTGAGACTCAAAACATTCATGGTGTTCAGCCCTTACCAGTGTTCAGAAAAGTAGATATTTGGAGATTTGGCATCTGTAACATATTTTATGTAGTGAAACAATTAACTGTGTCTGGTTTGAGATAGACAGTAGAGATATTACTGTCATAGTCAAGTAGTTTGTCTTATACTCTCCACCAAAAATCTCTTCTGACTTTTAGTTAAAAGGCATACCATTAGTTGATGAAAAATAACACTGAAGCTTCTTAACACAGCATAGAATAGTAAGAATATAGAATGTGAGACTAATAAATAGTTTAAATTGAAGCATACTTCTTAGCATCATAAAAATATTTGGGCTTACTGCACTTTAATGCTTATTCTTTAACTTTTTTCATTGATGAAAATCTTTAAGTCTTAAGAATAAACATATTAATTGTAGATGTAATAGAATAATCATTTAGTAAGTTTAATTCATCCTTTTACTTTGAGACAGGAAGATTATGGGAAAGCAGCTCTTTATCTAATGCAGAGTCCCATAGATTAATTTTATTGTCCCTGGATGTATTTAATGGATTTTTACTCTGCACATAATTTGCAAAGCATTGCTGTTTATGATAAATTTAATGTAACTATTTTAAAAGGGTTACACAAAACTATCTAGTTGTGCATGTCTGATGTAATTTAACATATGAATGTATGAATTACTTGTCTTATTCATGTTGATACAGCCTCAGTCCATGGCGCATCCGTGTGGGGGGACCCCAACATACCCAGAGTCACAGATATTTTTCCCAACTATTCATGAGCGTCCAGTTTCTTTTTCACCACCTCCCACCTGTCCACCGAAAGTAGCCATTTCCCAGCGGCGTAAGAGCACCTCCTTCCTGGAAGCCCAAACTCGCCACTTTCAACCCCTGCTGAGGACTGTTGGCCAAAATCTTCTTCCACCTGGTGGCAGCCCAACTAACTGGACACCAGAGGCTGTAGTTATGTTGGGTCCTACAGCCAGTAGAGTAACCGGAGAGCTATGTGAGATACAGGTCCATCCTACTATGTCTGAGCCTACTCAAGTTTACAGTGACTATAGACCTGGACTAGTACTTCCAGAAGAAGCTCGCTATTTTATTCCTCAGGAAGCAGTGTATCTAGCTGGGGTACATTACCAGACCCAGGTGGCAGAACAGTATGAGGGTGTTTCATACAACTCACCAGTACTGTCAAGTCATATGAAACAGATACCTGAACAGAAGCCAGTACAAGGGGGGACTACCTCAAGTTCTGTCTTTGAATTTCCATCTGGACAGGCTTTCCTGGTAGGACACCTTCAGAATTTAAGATTAGATTCTGGATTGAGTCCAGGATCTTCCCTCTCTAGTATTTCTGCACCTCTCAGTACAGATGCTACATGTTTGAAATTTCACCCCATCTTTGTTCCTCATTCTGCACCTGCTGTGTTAACTCACAGCAATGAGAGCAGAAGCAACTGTGTATTTGAATTTCACGCTCAGACACCGAGCTCCTCTTCAGGAGAAGGAGGTGGAATTTTGCCTCAACGTGCTTACCGAAATCGACAGGTTGCAGTGGACTCAAATCAGGATGAAACGCCTCCTCAGTCAGTTGGATTACATGGCCACCTGCAGCCTGTGACTGAAGAACAGTGTATTTACCAGACCCCAGAACTGACCATTTCTGTGATAGAGCCTGTCGGACAGAACTGGCCAATAGGAAGCCCAGAATATTCCAGTGATTCCTCACAAATCACTTCATCCGATCCCAGTGATTTTCAGTCACCTCCCCCTACAGGGGGAACAGCTGCACCTTTTGGCTCTGACTTCTCATTACCCTTTATCCATCTGCCTCAGACAGTGTTACAAGAATCCCCACTTTTCTTCTGTTTCCCCCAAGGAACTACATCTCAGCAGGTCTTATCTGCCTCATTTTCTTCAGGAGGATCTGCACTCCAACCGCAGGTTATAGGAAAACTTCCACAGTTCTTTTAAACCATTATACACGATTATATTTAAATTTTTTATCCCTTATTTCCCTGAATCATGGAATTATGAGGAATATTGTTTAATTTTTTTCAGTAGAGTTTCCTCATCTTTTGGAGGTCATAAACTACTTGTATTTAAGAACAAAATACGAAGCAAAAGCTATGTGATTTACCTGTAATACTTGCCAACCTTTGGAGAAAAAAGAATACCAAAGCTAAAATTTTAATCATGCATCAAAATTAAGTTCCTTTGTCCTTATATATAATATTTTCAAGTAGTGTGAAAATGGCAGTTGTCTGTAGTATAAGACTGATTATTTATTTTGGGTTTTTGTTGTTGTTTTTTGTGTGTGTGTGTACTGGGGATCGAACCTCGAGACCTTGCGCTTGCAAGGCAGGCGGCGGAACCACTGAGCTAAATCCCCAGCCCCAAGGTTGATTATTTAGATATATAATAAATTGAAGTATAAATTTCTTCCTATAAACAAGTTTTTTTGAAAAACAGTACAAAAAAATAACTTTTTCATAGAGTGAAATGAATAGAAAGTAGTGAAAACTTTTTTGGCACAGTATTAAGAATTAATGCACAAGATTTTTTTTAGTGTGAGGAGCCTAAAAAGACAGCAAAAGGAAACATCTTAGGAGTTTGGCTTAACAATTGAAGATGCCTTTTTGAAATAGTGTCAGTTAATCAAGTCAGTGTATCGTGTCCAAATAAAATATTAATCCATAAAGTTAAGGACTGATTCTAATTTTAACTGAGTTAGATCTAATGGATGGTAGATATATTATTTTTTGTTTGAAAAATTTATGACATATGTTGCAAGATCAAAAACATTGGCTATTTCAGGTCTTTTTTCTCAGCAAATTTAAATTTTGTTATTTATGTAAATGAGCGTATATACTCATGCAATTATTGACTAATGTAAATTAAAGAAATAGAGGGCTGGGGGTTTAGCTCAGTGGTTCCGCCGCCTGCCCTGTAAGCGCAAGGACCCGAGTTCATTCCCCGGTACCAATAAAAAAAAGAAATAGTGTTGACTATTTCATATATTCTGATATATATTGGATGTATATACATCTGTAAATGAGCGTATATACTCATGCAAGTAATGACTAATGTAAATTAAAGAAATAGTGTTGACTATTTCATATATTCTTCTGATATATATCGAATGTATATACATCTTACAAATCTGCATAGAAGACTATGTAACTATATTCAAGACATTATTCTAATCTTCTAAATATTACAGTCTTTTATAAGTACTATATGTTCTTCTCACTTTCTTCCTATGTTCTTCCCCATCAAAGGTGTAAAGAACTCCAAGAGTTCTTGATACATAAAGTATCAATTATTTAGCATAGCACTAAGAAGCAAAGAGATCCAGAAACTTAAACTATACTGCATGGGTATGCTGTATACTCACATCTGATTCATGTTGGTAGTTTCTGCTATAAATATTAATGAATTAGCAGCCATTTTTTAAAAAACTTTCCAAGGTAAAACTTCAAATGCAAAATAGTTAATTTATAAACATATTACATGGAAGAAATGAATACTTAAGGTTAAGCCACAACAGGATGGGATATATCCACATAAGCTTCAAAGAACCTCCTCTAAATTGAAAAGGAACAACAAAGGTAGTAGCCTTTTGTTTCCTTAACCTACCTAGATATATAATCATATTCATTTCTCATTTTCTCATTTATTTTAATTTAGACCTTTTAATTGGAACAATCTAGTCAGGGTTTCTCAAACACAATAGGAGTGACTTTCAGGATTGGATAATTCTTTGTCATGAGGGAGTAGGTTTTTCCGTGCATTGTAGAATATTTAGCAGCATCCCTGGTCTCTATCAGATGCTAGCAACAGCCATATCTCCCAGTTGTGACATCGGGAAATGGCTCTAGATAGTGACACATTTTCCCTGGGTAACAGCCATTGCTGTAGGTACTGAGCAGTTGATTATAACAGATTTTTGACATTTTTATTAAAAGTTATTATGGCACTATCTACAAGAAGTAGTGAAAAAAACTTAGCATTATCAAATGTCGTTTTCTTTAATTGTTTAGATTAAAAATTCTTTTACATTAATAGTCTTACCACTTCTTTCCTGGTTATTAAACTTTCAATAGCAATTTTATTATGAATCTGACTGTTCTAGCCAGCTAAAATTATACCCTGAGCATCAATGGTAAGTTCAGTTTGAATTATCAGTGGTTTTCTCATTGGATGAGATCAGAAATTTTCTAAGGTATGATCCAGACTTGTAAGTTTTTCTCACCAGAGATACCCCAGAAGCCTCTCCCATACATGTATAATAAGCTAATGTTTTGTTTTGATCAAGCAAACTTCTCAGGAGTTTTTATTGCAAAGTCTGACCTGTATACACATACCTTAGGCTTTCTCTAATTTGTTGTGTTCACTTGTTTCATTCAGGCACAGGGGCAGAGCCAGGGCCAGCCGTCCTCAAGTAGCTTAGCAGGGGTTCCATCTTCCCAACCCATCCAACATCCTCAGCAGGTGAGAACAATGCATTGCTATATTTTATGATTAGTAGTTATGGCCAAAATACTGTTTTACATTTTTTGTGAGTTAGATTCCTGATATAAATGGCTTCCTAAGTTTTTGAAAGAAAAATTAAGGAGCATAACATTTTTGTGTTCAATAGCATTTTAGGAAATCTTGCTTTAGTGTACTCTTGAACAATTTAGTAAATACATGTTAAAATTTTAAAAGAACCATTGTTACTGATATAATTTATCTACTTTCTTAACTGATTATACACATAATTAAACAGTACAAAGACCAGTTTGTTTCTACTTGTAACTTGTCCACATATGTGCACTTCTCATTTTTTTTCATCATTCCTGACTCTAATAATCCTAAATTCTTTTAAAATTATTTCTACTATGTGGAATATAGTATCAGATTTTATGCTAAGAGGCATTGAATGAAAGCCTAAAGAACAACTACTGCAAATATATTGAAAGAAAATTTTTTACAAAATTTCTGATTTTGTGAAGTTTGTTCCAAAAGATCAAAGAAACTCAAGAGATTAGTGTAATGCTTGTATATGTAGTAAAACTGCTCATCTTAAAATTAAATTAGTCCATTACTGATATTAGTTAATAGTGATAATTTGCAAGGTAGTAATGCTTTTTGCCATAATTTAATATTTCTTAGCTGTTTCAAACAATTTATACCACTGTCTATGTAATTCAAACCCCAAGAGTTACGGTGGTGCCCTCCCATAATCCAAACTGCTCAGGAGGCTGAAGCAGGAGGATCACAAGTTCAAGGCCAGCCTGCACAACTTATTAGCAAGACAATGTCTCAAAAATAAAAATTTTAAAAAGAACTGAGGATTGAACTTCACGCTCCCTGGGCTCAATCCCAGTACTGCCAAAAAAAGTTACAGTGGTATGCTGTATCTTAATGTTGTACCAAAAATAACTCTATTCTACTGGGAAACTTTGTGGTTGTAAGCAAGGCTTTGAGCTATCCTAGTAAATAGTTCTCTTCTGTAAGAGTACCTGTAAACAATGGTGGCAAACCTATGGCATGCATGCTGCAGCAGGCTGTTTGTGTCATTGAAAACCTAAAGGTTCGCCATCACTACTGTAGAGTCTTCAGGTATTCTTCCTTTTCTATTCAACTGAGGCACACGTACATTTTGCGTCAAGCAGCCATGGCCAACAGATAATACACAGTGAAAACTGAAGTGGTTTCATGAAGTAAGTTTCTGTAAATCCTGAGGCTGGGCTGCTGTGTTAAACCATACCTTGGCTATAATGATGTTGATTAGCATAAGCAGATCACCATGTTTTTTGGTCCCACCCAGAGGTTCCCCTTCTAAAATACTTTACTGACATAGATGCCTATCATTTTTCTTAAGCAAAGAGTGAGGGAATGTGTTCTACAGTCTTTCAATCTTACTCCCTCCATCCCAAGCTAAACAGTTTTTTTCTTATTGAGTTTAGATACTATAGGTTAATCAAGATGGACTGGATAATGAATGAATGACTGCTCTCAAGGAACCTAAATAATGTACTAAACATATATGTATATACTTCTACAAAGCAAATAAGGACAGCATCTAACATGTACAATGTGCAAGGCATTTTACCTATATTTTATTTAATCCCTATAAAAATCCTATGAATATAGATAGTATCATTATTTCCATTTTGCTAATGGGAAGCTGAAACCTGGAGAAGTTTGAGTAATTTACCTAAACTTACATTGTAGCTTGTAAGAAGTGAAAACAACTTAAATATAGCCTGATTTCACAGCTCACCTAACTACTACCCAGTTATGTCCCCAAAAGAAAAGAAATTAAGACCTCTCTTGAGTGGAAGGGAGATATTGGAAGACTTATAGAGATGGTATGTTAGACTTTGATTATAAGTTAGATTCAGATGGAAGAATAAAGAATTTTTCCAAGCCTAAAAGAAGAGAAGCAATATGAGCAAAGGTAAAACAGTAAGGGACAGCAACAAATATGCATTTATTTTGGTTTAGTTAGAATGTAAAGATATGTAAAAGTGTAAGTTCAAGAAAGAATTGATAAGACTCCAGATTTTGATGTGAACATAATTATAAATTGATAAGATGGGAAAGGACAGGGGTTTTATGATTATTGAATCACCAAATACAGTATAAGATGGGATTTTTTTTCCCTTCAGATTTATTCCTTAGAAGAAAATAACCACGTATTCAAATCTTTATACTCTCATATTACAGAATTCTCCTTGTCCTTTATTTTGACCAACCCCAAAATGTTAATGAAGTTAAGGAAAATAGGTGAGATCAAATGTACCTATAGGAACCTTAAGTCTGACAGAACTATTTTTTTTTTTAAATACTAAATTAAAGTCCCTGTTCTTAGAGATAGGGCATCACTAATCCATGGTTTGTTTTTTTTTGTGAGACATGATCTCACTTTGTAGTTTAGGCTGGCCTTGAACTTGCACCAGTCCTCCTACCTCAGATCCAAGAGTTAGGATTACAGGTGTGCACCACCAAGCCTGGCTCTGTATACCATTATAAATAATTTGTTTAAAGATCCCTTTAAGAAGTTATACAAAGTTTACATGAATATAAACCTATGAGACAAATGAAAAAAATCCAGCTAAACTAATAACATCCAAACACGTACTTATCACTTCAAATTCTACCTCAAGACAACTTAAAGGGAAAGTGCTTTGTTATGCTGGGAAACTGCCAGAGCACCCAGAGTGAAAATAAAGATGTTGATGTCTTATATTTGAAGAGTTTGAGGGAAGGAGAACAGTATTTCTGAATTGATACATTTTACATAACTGATCTAATTAACTAAAAGTTAATGAGTTAGATAATTGTACATATTTCATTCACATTCCTTAATGTTTAAATATATTTATGTTAGCAAAACATATTGTCTGAGCCAGGCATGGTGGCTCACGCTTGTAATTCCAGCACTCAGGAGGCAGAGGCAGGAGGATTGCCTGGGCTACATAGTGAGTTCAGGGGCAGCCTGAACTACAAAGTCAGACCCTGTCTCAAAAAACAAACAAAAAACCCCCAAAATTGTCTGTTTTTTAGTTCCTCTTTTTCAATGGGAAAATGAGGTAATGTTCTGATATGCAGAATTACCTTAGTGTTGTCTACATATGATATCTTAATTTCTGGGGAAATTTTCTATATAGTTCAACAGCTATTCATTCCTGAATGGTAAAGTAAGAATACACTATTAGGAATAATTAAATAGGAACAAAACAAACATGACTGCTATTGCCATTATATTTCAGAATTTTTTTGGTGGTTTGGTAATTTTAATTTATATAGTTAAGAAAGAAGAAATAAATACAAAAGCAAAAATGTTATTCTAGATTATCACTTAACAAATCCAAGACAGACATTGGGTTGACTATATACATGATAAAGACAGAATAAACAGCTTGTCATTATACAAGCAGTAACCAAATGCTGTCGGTTGGAGCATTATTTTAAGTAGCAAAAAAAAAATTCAAACAACCAAAATGTTCATTATTAGCAGATTACTGTTTATGGGATGAGTATGTTTTTGTTTTGTTTTTTTCCAACAACAATAACAATACACCTGTGTGTAAATGACCGCTAATATCTAGGAAAAAAATCCATAAAGGTGATGTACCAAACCACAAATAGGATTAGGGTATTTTTATTTAACTTTATAATTAGAAATACTGGTTAAAATATAAACAGGTGCTGGTATGTATTTAAAAAGAAAAAATTAAATTAGTTATAAGTATTAAAGTCTTGAAAGTCAGCTATAAAGCTCAGATTTTTGTTAGGCAAAAGAAGGGCTTTACTTTAGTATTAGAGTGATAGTCCTGTTTTGTCTGCTTGTTTTATTACAAAGTTTAGTATTTGGGTGTAATTACAAGTCAGTACCTATCACATGGTTAATTCCCAGATGTCATTCCTTTTGCCCCACTCTTAAGTAGAATGGTAGTGTTCTTGCTTTCAAAAAAGGAAATTTCATTTTTCTAATAAAACAAGCAATTTTATTTTGTAATAACATGCAGTAATATTCTACCTAGTAAGCAGTAAAGCTAAAATTGGAAACTATTTCGTGGTTCAAAACTCAATACTTTTCTCACTATTTTGTAGCAGTAATTAACATAATTATACAGCTGACAAACTAGGGTAAGGAAGTTGTCTCGACATGATATCTAAATGTCTCTGAAAAGCTAGCTGTTGAGTGGTGAAGGACCAGTGGAGTTTTGGAACACTGGTTAGTTGTAATGATAGCATCACAACGCTAGAGGAGAAACATTAAAGGAAACTTGAGTTTTTGCATGATATCAGCACAGAGAACATCAGAGGAAAACAGATATAAAGGGAATTGATGAATTTGCATTTCTAAATTACTAAAATTATCACCATTTACAAATATTAAAGGCTTTATTTGACCGTACTCCTTAGAAACATGCTATTAATGGTTTGAAATAAAACTGAATCATGAACCACACGTGGTGGTGCATGCCCAAGGGCCAGCTACTGAGGAAGCTGAGGCAGGAGAATAGATTGAGCCCCAGGAGATTAGAGCTAACTTGGGGAATATAGCGAGACCCATTTCAGAAACAAAACTGAATTGTTGTATTTTCTTCTTAGCAGCAGGGAATACAGCAGACAGCCCTTCCTCAACAGACAGTACAGTATTCACTTACACAGACAGCAACCTCTAGTGAGGCCACTACTGCACAGCCAATGATTCAGCCTCAGACTTCACAGGTCTTGCCTCAAGTGTCAACAGGAAAACAGGTAAACTTGATTTCTGAAAAGATGCTAAAAAGGATCTCCATGTAACTTGTCCTCCATGTAACTTCTACTTTTCTAATAGTGAAATATTTATTGAACTTGGTTAATCTCACTGAAATGATATAAAACTTGCTCCATTTGCTCATATATATTGTTTAATGTAAATGAGTATATAATGACATCAATGACAATCAAAAAATATTTCACTTTTAGGATTAACAGTATAAAATAGTTACAGGTATTTAAACTAATGGGTTAAATAATGGTGCTTTAGTAACTGAACCTGTGACATTCTGTAGAAATGATTAGTTGTGTTATGTAGATTTCTGCTGTTTCCTCTCTCATGGCTGACAGTAAGTCATACTGTCAAACTCCTTATGTGGAATGATTTTTTTTTTTAAATAGTTCTGATCACTTTAAAAGTACCCTGTAGGAAGTATGCTTTTCTGAATGACCTTTTTCAATTTTATTTATGAGTACCATTGTGCTTGTATGTGCACAGTGTCTTATTACTGTTATCTTTCATCATATCTAAAATACTGTTGCCTATAAAATGCACCATTATTTTATGTACCAAAGAGTATACGCTGACACATCATCAGTTGTAAGAGATATTCCAGTTTCTCAAATGTTCATATGAGGGGATGACTTTGTCCTAGAATCCATGAAATATGTTATATACCTGCTTTTATAGAACTGTCTTAGACCTAAGAATTGTAGAAATAATAAGGATGAACCCCACTGGGAAAAAAATTTCATTTTAATTTCATTAACTGCTTGAATAGCAATAATAGATTTAATGACAACAGATATGCCAGTGGATTATGGTATATGAAGTACATGCCAAGGAAGCTGTTAAAAACAACAACAGTAGCAATAAACCGTTGCCTGTGGAAACCCTTGCCTATTGTCAATCATGAAATATTAGCAAATTTTTTGACAGTGAAAGGTTTAGAACAGAAACTAGTTTACTAGTCTTTTTTTCTCCTGCTATCTTTTCCTTATTCTTATGTGGCATAATAACTTACACTAATATATGCAGGATTTTGTTTCCTTCTTTTTTTAGCTAAAACTTCTTGCTTTTGGCAGCCTTGCTTTAAAAAAAAAGTCTGTTTTGTTTTTCTTTACTTTCCCAGCTTCCAGTTTCCCAGCCAGCACCAACTGTCCAAGGCGAACCTCACATCTCAATTGCGACACAACCCTCAGTTGTTCCAGTCCACTCTGGTGCTCATTTTCTCCCTGTGGGACAGCCACTCCCCACTTCTTTACTCCCACAGTACCCTGTCTCTCAGATTCCCATATCAACTCCTCATGTGTCTACGGCTCAGACAGGTTTTTCATCCCTTCCCATCACAATGGCAGCTGGCATTAATCAGCCGCTGCTCACCTTGGCTTCATCTGCTACATCAGCTGCAATCCCAGGGGCATCAACTGTGGTTCCTAGTCAGCTTCCAACTCTTCTGCACCCTGTGACTCAGCTGCCAAGTCAAGTTCACCCACAGCTCCTACAATCAGCAGTTCAGTCCATGGGAATACCAGCTAACCTTGGACAAGCTGCTGAGGTTACACTTCCCTCTGGAGATGTTCTATACCAGGTATTGTGTTAACTAGCAAAAAAGGAGGGCATTAGAGGGTCAGACCATCAAGAACTTGAAAACCTAGTAGTTGAGTATCAGAATAACAATAATAAAAGTTGCTGATCTCAACTAGAGAAGCTAACATAGTAAAATTCTGAGAAAGGATAGAGTGGTGATGTCTAATGACTCATCCATTTTTCACAAGATGCAACTTGGGAGAAAAATAATACTCTATATTCATTATAAGCTAGGAGAATATTAGATATGGTTTAATACAGTACATTAGGCTGCATTTGTATATGTAGATGGCGTGAATGGAGTAGAGAGCATGGTATCGATAAAACTTAAGGGTATAGGTTTAGAAGATGAGCATTCCATAATATGACTGGAATGACTGACACCTGCATTCTTCATGTAAGATTAGCTAGAAAATAGATAACCTTTCTAGAAGGAATTAAGTCTATCAGTTCTATGCAATCTCCAGAGCTGGGCATGGTGGTGCATATTTATAATCTGAGCACTCTGGAGGCTGAGGCAGAAAGATTTCAAGTTCAAGGACACCAGCCTGGACTACATAGTAACACTGTCTCAAATCCCTGCCCCCCCCCAGCCCCACCAAAAAAAAATCTCCAGAGGAAGGGGGGCAAAAACTAGCAGTTTAAAGTATGATAATTGAGTGCCGTCCCTGGATTGGAACTAATCTACCATTTCAAGAATGATCTTTAGCTTATTAGTAAGAGAATATTCTTTGCTGTGTGCACCCCATCCCCACCTTTTGGCATGTCTTGCTGATTTGCTAGTTTGATGTCCCAACCTGTACCAACTAACCTTCCTCATTTCTGTCACAGGGCTTCCCACCTCGACTACCAACACAATACCCAGGAGATTCAAATATTGCTCCTTCTTCCAACATGGCTTCTGTTTGCATTCATTCTACAGTTCTGTCCCCTCCTATGCCGACAGAAGCATTGGCTACACCAGGTTACTTTCCTCCAGTGGTGCAGCCTTATGTGGAATCAAATCTTTTGGTTCCTATGGGCGTTGTAGGAGGACAGGTTCAAGTGTCCCAACCAGCAGTGAGTTTAGCACAACCCCCCACTACATCCTCCCAGCAAGCAGTTCTGGAGGTAAATTAAATTGTTGCATGTTTTTATATGAAACATATATAAGTGGGATAAAAACGAAAATGATAGGAGAAACAGGCTCCCCTAGTTTAGAACTCATCTGGAGACTATGTCAAACTAATTTCTGAATGACTTTTTCTTCCAGCAGAATGAAATGCCAATGCGGGGGCCTTGTTGCCACTGGCTGTTCTGTTGGGAAGTGAGTGTGCCTTGGAGATAAACCCTATTAGCACTTCACTTCTCTAGCTAGTACTTTAGCCATTATTCTTATCCTTCCACAAACTCTTGCCATGGGCAGTCATAAGAATATCAGCCTGCTGTGCTCTCAGCAATCATTTTTGCCATACTAGGAGAAAGATCTGAGTTCATCTTTGCATTGTTGCTCTGCGTACCCTATTGCACACGTCTGATAAGTTGCTAGCTGCATGGCAAGTTAGTTTCACACTGCCTAGCAAATAGGTTGGCTGACCTTGTACCGTGCAGTCTACACCAGAAACTAGCTTTAAAAACTTCCTTTGGAATTTTGAGATCACTGTCTATAGATGCTTAATATTGAGATTTACTAGTGAATAAATTTACTGCTTCTAGATCTTAAGGGAGGAACTCAAGGGGGAAAAATGGTAAAGAGAGCTTATTGGGGATGGTGAATAATAAATACAGTATATTACCCCCAAGATTTGAATTAGTCTTTTCATTCACAGAGTACTCAGGGAGTCTCTCAGGTTGCTCCCCCAGAGCCAGTTCCAGTAACACAGCCACAACCTATCCAGCCTGTCAATTTGGTTTCCTCTGTAGACAGGTATGTACAATTCACATTCTCCTCTGACTTGTAAGTAGGACAGTATGAAGCTTCAAAATATCAGACCTTTAAACTTCATATTGTAAACTGAACTTTTTTTTCAAAGTGCGCATTCAGATGTTGCTTCAGGTATGAGTGATGGCAATGAGAATGCCCCATCATCCAGTGGACGGCATGAAGGGAGAACAACAAAACGGCATTATCGAAAATCTGTAAGAAGTCGCTCACGTCATGAAAAGACTTCACGTCCAAAATTAAGAATTTTAAATGTAAGTAGTGTTGATTTATGGCCTTTGTATTGTAAAGAAATTTGGCACTCAAAAGAATTTTAAAGACTGTCAAATCCAAACCACTCATTTTATAAAGATATGTGTCATACATAATTTATGTAGCACTCTTCTCATTTAATCTGCACAAACCCTTTTAGTTGAATATCACATTTTTCAGATGGAAAAAAAGTGAAATACAGTTCATCAAGCTGTAATAGGGCCAGCAATTAATATCATTTGAATAATTAAGTCTCAATAAATGGAACAAAGTTTAGAATCCTCTGATTACCCAAATGATGTTCTTAAATTCCATATTTCTCTGGTAAGACACGTTGTCTTGTGTGTGTGTGTGTGTGTGTGTGTGTGTGTCTAAAGTGTAAGACAGGATCTCAGTTCAAACTGGCCTTGAACTCATTCTGTAGCCCATGCTGGCCTGAAACTCATGGTGATCCTCCTGCCTCTGCCTCCTGAGTGCTGGGATTATAGGTGTGTGCCACCATGCCCAGCGGTATTTACCTTTTAGAAAAAAGAGAAATTTCAGTTTATAGAAACCTCCAGACTCTAGTGGAAGATGAAACAGTAGCTGAAAAGCTTATTTCTTCTCATAGAGGTTGGTTTGTTTGTTTGTTTGTTTGTTTTTGCTACCACTTTAAAAGACAGATTTTTGGGCCGGGGATTTAGCTCAGTGGTTCCGCCACCTGCCTCGCATGCGGAAGGTCCCGAGTTCGATCCCTGGTACCAAAAAAAAAAAAGAAAAGACAGACTTTTAGTCCTTCAGGGAATAGTGATGACACTATGCTTCTTCAGACTTAAATTCAAGTGCTAATCTGAATGACTTCTCAAATTCAATAATAAAGCTAAAGATCATCTTTTGAAGTGAAGTACTTTTTTGTTTCTCTTTTTAGGTTTCAAATAAAGGAGACCGGGTAGTAGAATGTCAGTTAGAGACACATAACCGGAAAATGGTTACATTCAAGTTTGACCTAGATGGCGACAACCCTGAGGAGATAGCAACAATTATGGTAAGTTCCATTTGGAGTTGCAGATTTTTCCCTAGTATTTGATCTGAATCCATTTCCTTAGGCAGCTATCCATGTTTTGTGATTCATGTTTATCCCAACAAGTATGTATGTATTCCAGTATGACTATAATAACATTCAGCCTATTGTCCAGAGATGTTTTTGTCTAGGATGTGTCTAAGTATTGAAGTTCTTAAAAACATAAGAGCTGACTTAGGGCCGGGGATTTAGCTCAGTGGTTTTGCCACCTGCCTTGCAAGTGCAAGGTCCCAAGTTCGATCCCCGTTACCAAAAAAAAACAAGAGCTGACTTAAATACCAAATAAGTAATAATACAAGAGATGTGCAGGCAATGTAGAAGTCATAAAAGTGGTAGATGAATGACTTAAAGCTTAACATGCCATATTAATCAGACAGATATCACACTTCTTTTACAGGTGAACAATGACTTTATTCTAGCAATAGAGAGAGAGTCATTTGTGGATCAGGTACGAGAAATTATTGAAAAAGCTGATGAAATGCTCAGTGAGGATGTCAGTGTGGAACCAGAGGGTGACCAGGGACTGGAGGGTCTACAGGGAAAGGATGACTATGGCTTTTCAGGTTCTCAGGTAGGTCCACCATTCACATAATGAAGCTTTGGTTGTTTGAAATATTTCTGTAGTGCTAAATTTATCATACAAAATACAGAAAACAAGCAGATTCTCTTCATATGTGATGATTTGCTTTGCCTAATCATTGCAGTTTCATTTCAGAATGAATTTAATTACTTTTCTTTTTTGTAGAAATTGGAAGGAGAGTTCAAAAAACCAATTCCTGCATCTTCCATGCCACAGCAAATAGGTGAATTTCTTTTTTTTCCTTTCCTTGTTTTTAACCTTTAACCTAAGAAGTTTTGTGCACCAATAATGAAATCTTGCAGCATTGTCTTGTAATAATGTAATAATGATACAATTAAGTGGCTTATTTCTTTTTGTCAAGGTGTTCCTGCTAGTTCTTTAACTCAAGTTGTTCATTCAGCCGGAAGGAGGTTTATAGTAAGTCCTGTGCCAGAAAGTCGATTACGAGAATCAAAAGTTTTCACCAGTGAAATATCAGATACAGGTAAAGACTGATTCTGCTACATACTATGTAAATCCTATAACATCTCTAAACAACAGACATGGAGGAGAGAAATAGATAAATAGGATTAAAGGAAAAGTCAGCCATACTAGATATAACCTATACTAGATACTTTAGTATATGTTTGTTTCTGAATTTAGAACTATGATACATGTTTTCAGCTTACTCCATGTTCATTCTTTTGTTTTCCAAAAATAGATATTCATACAAACTGACTTATTTGATCAAACTAGTATTTGACTTTGCTGTTTTAGAGCCTGTCATTTCCTTGGGAAAATTTTTAAACCTTGATGATTAATAGCATTGTGAGCAGTCCAAAAATAGGTTATTACTACAATCTTCTGAATCTGTCTTTTTTTAAATGGGTTGATTCATATATTTTTGTTTTCCTTTGCAGTTGCTACCCCCACATCTCAGGGCCCTGGAATGAACTTGTCTCATTCTGCCTCGTCCCTCAGTCTCCAGCAGGCATTTTCTGAACTTAAACGTGCTCAGATGACTGAAGGACCCAGTACAGCACCTCCAGACTTTAGCCAAATGGGACCAACATTTCCTCCTTTCTTGGCTAGCACTGCTGGCGGACCGCCAACCACTGCAGCACCCACACCTTCAATATCAGTCCCTATAACAAGCAGCCCTCTTAATGACGTTTCCACATCAGTGGTACAGCCTGAGGTTATAGCACCCACTGAAAAAGGGATTGCTGGAGTTGCCACCAGCACAAGGGTGGTAACTTCAAGTGGTCTTTCTGAACCACCTGTGTCTGAGTCACCAATACTCTCCAGTGTGGTGTCAAGCATCACTGTACCTGCAGTTGTCTCAGTGCCTACAACATCCCATCCAGTTCAGGCCTCCACATCCGGGAGCACTGTTCCTAGTATAGGCACTTTTTGTCCTATAACAGTTCCAACGACTTCAGCCTCTGCCTTGGGCAGTGCAGCTGCCTCAGGCGCCAAGCCTCCAAATATGTTTTCTCAGCAGGCAGTAGGTAGTACTCCTGAGACGGCCACAGTAACGTCAGTTTCTGCTACCACTCTACTCCCAAGTATAGTTTCACAGCCCTCTCTTCTTAGCAGCACCTCTGCTACTACTATAGCTGAAACAGTGGTTAGTGCACAGTTACTAGACAAAACACCCAACAGCAGTGCAACTGGGTTGGCTTTGTCCTTCTCTGCACCATCTTCTTCCTCCCCTGGAATAGGAGTGGCTACTTCTGTTTCTCAGCCTGGTGGACTGCATCCTTTGGCCATCCCATCCTCTGTAGCTTCTATTCCTGTCCTTGCCCAAGCAACAGGTCCTATTTCTACACCTTTATTACCCCAGGTACCTAGTATCCCACCTTTGATACAGCCTGTTTCTAGTGTACCTGCTGTACAGCAGACACTCATTCATAGTCAGCCTCAACCAGCCTTGCTTCTCAGCCAGCCCCACATGCACTGTCCAGAAATAGATACTGATACCCAACCCAAAGCTCCTGGGATTGATGATATAAAAACTCTAGAGGAAAAGCTGCGATCTCTCTTTAGCGAACACAGCTCATCTGGAGCTCAGCATGCCTCTGTCTCACTAGAAACATCATTGGTAGTAGAGACCACCGTCACACCAGGCATCCCAACCACTGCTGTCGCACCAAGCAAACTCATGACTTCCACTACAAGTACTTGCTTACCACCAACCAATTTGCCATTAGGAACAACTGGTTTGTCAGGTATGCCAGTCGTCACACCTGGGCAAGTTTCTACCCCGGGGAGCTATATTTCAGCCCCAGTCACCACAGCATCAGGAATGAAACCTGGAACTGCTCCCTCAAAGGCATCTTTAACTAAGGCTCCGGTAAGATTCTTTTTTTGTGTTTTTTTTTTTTTGGTACCGGGGATCGAACTCGGGACCTTGTGCTTTCGAGCCAGGCACTGGAACCACTGAGCTAAATCCCCGGCCCTCCAGTAAGATTCTTATTTCAAAATAATTAGAAAGATGTGATCACTTCTTTATTCCCCCTAATCACATTCTTCAACTCAGCCTTGAAAATAATGTAGTAATAAATATACTCAGCCTTAAATTGATGTCAATTTTATAATATATGTACCTTGAGCACCAGATTTTTTTTTTTTTTTTTTAGATATGGCAGAATTTGGGGTTTAATTATATTGCACAATTTCCTAAGAATATGTAATTTTCAGGTAAAATACAGGCATGTCTCTAAAATTGGGATAAACCAAAGAAATTTTTATCCCACAAGAGAGCTAAAAGTATCTGTTGGCACAATATCCATAATAACAGTAGTTCACCACCTATTACACCTGAGAATGAAGCAAATGTTCTGCTTTGTTACAGATTCCACATGTGTACAATTTGTGATTTTTAAAAAATTAAAAGTTGGTGATGAAAGTGATTCAGAGGAAGAGGAAATTATCTGATTCTAGGATAAAATAACTAGACTATTTCTAATTCCGCTGTGTTGGATATCTTCTCATTCTGCTATCTTCAACTTTTCTAACCTTCTCCAAAAATAGCAACTCCTTATTATGTCTACTGAATTATATGCTTCAGCCACCTTTCTGCATTGTTATGGATGTGAGATTCTTTTCACAGTAGGGTAATACAGATGTTTCTCAGCTTTAATAGGGTTAAGTCCCTATAAACCCATCCTGAAATTTAAAATAGCAGAAGTCAAAAATGCATTTAATACACTTAATCTACCTGAACATTGTAGCTTAGCAACACAGAACACTGTAGGATATCAGTTGTTTGTCTTTGCGACAGTATGACCGGCTTACTGCCACTGCCCAGCATCACAAAAGACATCATACAATATTTCGTTACCTTGGAGATAGATAAAAATTCAAAATTGTTATAGTGGTGCATGCCCTGTAGTCCCAGCTTCTCAAGAGGCTGAGGTAGCCAGGACTCCAGAGGCTAAGGCAGGAAGATCAAAAGTCTGAGCCCTGCCCAGGCAACTTAGCAACTTAATGAGACCCTGTCTTGAAAAGTACAAAAACAGGCTGGAAATGTAGCTCAGTACAAAGGCCCAAAAAATCTGAGATGGGAGTCACTTGAGCCCAGGAATTTGAACAAGCCCTGTCTTCTTAATTTGATGGACAACTTCTACTAACATCACAAATCAATAATTGAGCCATCATAAGTCAGGGACCATCTGTATAGAGTCTTTACTCGGACAAAATAGAAATTACTTTATAGTATCAGATTTTTTATTTTTTTTTTATCAAGACATACCCCTTGGTTATTTCTAAACCAACCTCTGTTTCCTTAGAAATGTCTTATTTTTCTTATCATAACCCAGATAATACTATATCAAATAAATGGCTCAAAAATATCTGGACTGGCCGGGTATAGTGGCACACATCTGTAATCCCAGCACTCTTTCGGGGCTGAGACAGGAGCCTGGGCAACTTAGTGGACTAGCAAGACTGTCTCAAAGTAGAAAGAATGGTGGATATAGCTCAGTGTGAAGGCCCTGGGTACAATCCACAATACTGCCCCACCCCCAAAAATCTGGACTGTGCCTCTAACGTGCATATAGACTTTGTCCTTTTTCTTTTCCCTAAGCAACAACCTTTTACTCTATTTTACTATTTATTTAATGGGTAGTTCAAAATAACCCATATAATAATATCATTGGTTATGATGTTCTTTATTGAGGACATACCAGACTAACCTATGTGGTAAGCATGCTTTAACTGGATAACATTATATTCTTAAGCTTCTGCATTCAAATTAGTTGATTTGCTCTTCAGTAATACAGCCTTTATTATTAGTGTCTCATAGACTTAAATTTCCCTTCATTGTCCATAGGTGCTGTCAGTGGGTACTGAACTTCCTGCTGGTACTCTACCCAGTGAGCACCTGCCACCTTTTCCTGGACCTTCACTAACTCAGGTGCCCCAAGACCAGGCAGATTTCTTTCTGTGCCCTTACTTTCTTTCACAACACTTGTTTAAATTCTCCATTGCATGAGCTTGGCTTCTGGATCCTTTTGGGCTTGGACTTATTAACACTTTTCTTTTAAAACATTGTGGCTAATGACACAGACACAACTTAAATAAGCTTCATAGTTCCTTTATAATATTGCTTATGGTCATCTAGAAAACATTTGATATTAGGATTAATCAGAGGAACTGAGACTTGCAATGTGAACTTGAGATTCCCTTCTCATACTCAGAGTACAATGATAGTCAGAACTACCCATTTAAATTATTATCCTTTCCTTAGCCTATCCCATTATGAACACATTTAATTGAAGTCCTATAGGAAAATACTTGTGAACCCATGGTAACCGTGAAAAAGCTTCTGACGTGGGACAAACTAATAAACTTTGTAACTAAATTAGGAATTATTTTTGGAATTATATATAAGAAAAATATGACAGACTGCCTACTCAGGAAGCCTAGTACAGACTTATTTCTCCTTTGATCTGATTTTCATTAGAATATAATGTAAAGAATTTGCTACAACAAACCCTAACAAAAACCCCATTCCACCAATCACAATTTTTTTAAAGTCCAATATGTAAGTCTATAAATTCAGAGTTTATAGCTGCGCCAAGTGGTTTTTATCGATAGCCCTGGCACTTGGAGGCTGAGGCAGGAAGATCATTTGAACCCAGGAGTATAAGACTAGGCTGGGCAACATAGTGAAACCTCATTTCAAAAATAAGCATTTAGGGCCGGGAATTTAGCTTCGTGGCACAGCGCCTCCCTGGCAAGCACAAGGTCCTGAGTTCAATCCCTGGTACCAAAAAATAATAATAATAAATAATAACAAAAAATTCAGATTCCTAAGAGAGCTTAAAGTGTAATGAAGGATAGGAGGAGAAGCATAAGTAAAGGCTATATGAGAATAGGTACATAAGAATGGGTTGATAGAAACCAAGGTTGAATAGAGTCTCTAACAAAGGCAAAAATTGTGACACTGAGTTGTATGTTAGAGAGGCATGGTTAACAGGATGGACTGCCCAGATCCCTTTGCTGCCATCTGTAGGACAGAGTATACATCATAAAATCTGAAAAAGAGAGTATTCCTTGTAACAGAACCTATTATTGCCATCTCTTACTCATAGGGATAGGTTCCCAGAAAGGTATATAAAACTGAGAAATAGGGAACATGGGATGCAATTAATCTACCAATAGATATGATGCATTTTTCAGAATATATTTTAAGACAGAAGACAAATTTTCTATCACTTTGAATAATATCATGCATAGATAAGACTATGAAGCACAAAAATGTGGCCAAAGTACTCTAAAGCTTGTTAGACCTGTCATATAATCCTGAGAAACTGATAGATTATCAACACATTATACTAAATCTTAATATTTTATAGTCAGTGAAACAAATGCTACGTTGTAATCTAAAGTATAAAATATACATCTTATATAAGTTGCCTATATGTAGTGGTTCTGAAGGTGCCAAAGAATTTATATCTACCATAACTTTTTTTGCTCAGTCTCAGCAACCTCTAGAAGATCTTGATGCTCAGTTGAAACGAACACTTAGTCCAGAGACTCTTACAGTGACATCTGCAAGTGGTGTAAGTGTTTAAAAAACCTTGGTAGAATCTAGCCTGAATCTATTGTATTTCTGGAACACAAAATGTAACCTAAGTCATCATTAATACTCCAATTCCTAATTTAGAGTCCCTGCTTGTTCTAGTGAACAGAAATGAGATGGGTTGATGAAAGACTGACACTGACTCCGTAGTGTAATTACAGAAAAGATTTGATACTCTTATACTTCTGATTAGATTTTACCGCAGGTTAATCCTATGGATTTTCTATTTATGCTTTGTAGGAGGCTAAACTTTATAAGACAGAAATGATTTGTTTTGGTTTTAGGTTTATCTTAGATATGATCTTGCTATATAGTTTAGTCTGGCCTTGAGCTCATCGTGATCCTACTGCCTCAGCCTCCCTAGCACTGGGATTACAGGCATGCGCCACCATGTCCGACAAGACAATAATGTTTTGATAAAACTACTTTCTGTGAATATGTTACGTTCTTAGGTATCACTATGAGAAAAATTAAAGCAATAATGGCTAAGACTCAAAATTCTTCTTAAAATGAGCTGCCTTTTTTTTTTACATTGGACTTATTTTTAGTTTATAAAAGAAAATTCCCTTAGACATAAGTATTCCTTCAAATACTTATACCATAAGTATTCAAAATACCATAGAAAAAGCAACAGGGCAAAAGTATAAGAATGATTAAAGCTAAAGATTTTGTTGTGTCTATATGTATGTGTTTTACAGCCTGTGTCCGTGGTGGCTCCAACAGCAGCTACAGAAGCAGGAGCACAGCCTCAGAAGGATGGTGAGACACATCCTTCTTTTGATATTACTACTCCCCAGTTCTACGTATAGTTGATAATAAAGTTTACTGCTTCAAAGACAGTCTTGAGAGTGTTGGTACTTTTGAGACTATTAGAACATCTTTATGTGTTTCATGACTGAGGAGCATTGATGATATCTAAAGCATGAAACATGAGCCAGTTAATGAGTCTTACTGGAGCGAGAGAACTGTTATACATGTGTTAATGATAGTTTCTTAGTGTAAGACCTTTTGTTATTATCTAGGCAAGTTCCTTTCTATAAGAAATTAGGAAGTTCTAGCATATTTATAAAAGTCAATTTACTGGTACACTTTTGTGACACTGGATAGGTATATAAAGATCAAGTGGAAAAGCCTGGACATTATATTTGTACAGAGATCCAAATGTAAGATTTTAATCAATTTGAGTGTTTTTTCAAAACAACTGTGAATTGGCTCTCTTTTTTTTTGTACCAGGGATTATTGAACTCAGGTCCTTGTACTTGCGGGGCAGGCAGCGGAACCACTAAGCTAAACCCACAGCCCTTGACTCTCTCATTTTACAGTAAAATAAATACCTTACAAATCAGTAGAATATACTAGAAAGTCTAGAAATGGACAAAATAAAGGAAAATATGGATTGTGAAAGCATATTATAGAACTTAAATACATACAATAAAATTGATAAATTTTACACCAAATAAAAGGTAATGTAGGCTTATGAAAAAGGTGGCCTGTTAAATTGTAGGATAAGATATTTCAATAAATAGGATAGTGGGCCAGGGGTGGGGCTTAGCATTGTTTTAATTTGCATTTCTCTAATGGCCAGTGATGTTGAATATTTTTTTCATGTATTTAAGGGACATCTGTGTTATTATCATTTCAATTGCCCTTTTTTTTTTTTTTTTGGTACCGGGGATTGAACTAGGGACCTTGTGCTTGTGAGGCAGGCAGCAGGACCACTGAGCTAAATCCCCAGCCCAGTTGCCCATTTTTTGATTGAGTCTCATTTTAAGTTTTTTATATATTTTAGATATTAGTTCTCTGTCTGAGATATAGCTGGCAGAAATTTTTTCCCATTCTTTAGATTGTCTCTTCCCTCTATTGGTTGTTTCCTTTGCTTCATAGAAGCTTTTTTTTTTTTTTTGGTACCGGGGATCGAATTCGGGTCCTTGCGCTTGCATAGCAAGCAGCGAAACCACTGACCTAAAGCCTCAGCCCCATAGAAGCTTTTAAACTTGATGTAAATCCTATTTGTTGATTTGGTGTTATTTCTTGTGCAATGGGGTTCTGTTCAGAAAGTCTTGCCTACACCTATATCTTCAATAGTTTTACCTACTTTATCTTCCAGCTGGTTATTTCTGTCTTAAGACAGTATTTAGATCTTTGATCCATTTTGATTTTAATTTAGTACATAGTGAGAGATACGGGTCTAGCTTCAATCTTCTCCATATATATATAGCCAATTTTCTCAGCACCATTTGCTAAAGAAGCTATGTTTCCTCCAGCATGTTTTTGGCCCCTTTGTCAAATCAAGTGGCTAAATGTGTCTGGAGTTGTTGCTGCATCCTCCGTTCTGTTCCATTGATCCACATGTGTTTTTGTGTCAGTACCACAGTGGTTTGTTTTTGTTCTGTTTTGTTTTGTTTTTAATCACTGCAGCTTGGTAGTATAACTTGAACTTTTTGATCCACTATGCCAGTCTGTCTCGTCTCCTTTTTCTAGTTACTTCGCTCTTCTGTATTTTACCTGTCAGATTTTTAAATGGAAATGATTCAGCACTTCCATCTTTAGTTCATAGATCTATAAGAGACTATATATTATAGCACCTTTAAAATAGCAAGAAATTCTGAGTAATTTAAATGTCCATCAGTGGAAGCTTTGGTTAAAGTATAGTTCATTGAAAAAAAGAATGTATTTGGTACATAAAATATAACATTATGTAGCTATTAAAAAGAATAAAAATGGGGGCTGGGGATTTGGCTCAGTGGTTTCACCACCTGCTGCGCAAGCACAAGGACCCGAGTTCGATCCCCGGTACCAAAAAAAAGAAAAAAATGGAATGGTTTCTAAGATGTCACATGGAAATATAGGTCAGTGTATAAAATTATCTGCTGATATGTGCCTACAATATCTCCAGAAAAAAAAAGTGGGACAGAGGATCTAAGTGTCTTTAAAAGTTGATCAAAACTGCTTATCAGTGATTCTGAAAACTACTGTCCTAAGTATTGCATTGCAAAAATAAATTTAACTGGTTTTGATTTAAAAATGAGTCTTTAATATCATGTATTTCTGGCCAGAGGAAAAAGAAGCTAACTAAAAGGGGATGCTACTTCGTTTTCCTCTTCTGTGTATTTGTTTCAGTTTCTCAAGGCACAGAAGGCCTTGTCCCAGTAACTAGTCCAGGAGCTGGTGTTTTAAAAATGGGACGATTTCAGGTAAGCTGATCATTTTCTTGATCTTGATTTCTTCTCTGAGAGGAGTTATGTATACAATAAAATTAGTACTTTTGTGGGACATAATTGCCAATCTAATGTTATATTTCTTTTATGCAGCACTTGATAACTATCATTTTCCCCTCATAAAGATAAGGCATACTAATTAAAGCAAATATAAAATACTTAGAACATACTTTCTTCCTATTCATCCCCTAGGAATACTTGTTCTCTCTAAAATTGGTCACTGCTTCTCCTCTGAGTGATATTTGTTATCTTTATATATAAAAAATATTTTCTATATTTAGGATAGTTTCCTTAGAATTATCTCTTTAAGTGCTGATACTGATTAAGCATCAAGTGATTCCATATTATTTTAATCTCCCACCTGATCCAACAAGTGAGCAATTTCTAGAGTTCAACAAGCTTTGCCAGTCTTTTTTATCCTGCTTTCACAACTACTTTCAAATTGTTTTTATTATAGCTCTTGGAATTGGGGGTAGCAGGTAATATTTTTCTCATTTATAAACTGAGATTCTAAAACTTTATAGCTGTATCTATAGTATTTATGATATATGCACAAACAAGGACAAGGATCTGAATCCTTTTTCAGTGCCTGTTGGTTGTAGTGATTCTTAAAATTTACCTGGCATTTAACATTTCTTCTATATAATATATTCACAGGTAACCTTCAAGCTTTTAGGACCTGTTGTTACTTATATTTTGACTGAGACATGAATCCTGTGTGTAACATGAGAGATGAAAGTAAATTATTTAGTCAGCTTAACCAGCCACTCAGAATCTGCAACTTAATACAGATAGGTTGTTCTCTATAATGATACTCAATTTATTTCCACATTCAAATATAGAATGACTATGTAGAGATTCAGCCTTTCATGGACTGAGCAATAGAGCGATTTCCTTTTTTGTTAATGATCCATGCTGGAAATTAAATATTGGGGACTTCAGTTTTTAACCTCACTTTGTTCTCTTTTTTTCCACTAGGTTTCCATTGCAAAGGATGATGCCCAGAAAGAGAGTAAAGATAAGTCAGAAGATGCAAAGTCTGTTCATTTTGAGTCTAGCACATCGGAGTCCTCGGTGTTATCAAGTAGTAGTCCAGAAAGTACCCTGGTGAAGCCAGAGCCTAATGGGATAACAATCCCTGGCATCTCCTCAGATGTGCCAGATAGTACCCACAAAACTCCTGCCTCAGAAGCCAAGTTAGAAGCCAGGCAGCCTACCAAGGTTGGACGTTTTCAGGTGACAACCACAGCAAACAAAGTGGGACGTTTCTCTGTATCAAGAACTGAAGAAAAGATCACTGAGGCAAAGAAAGAGGGATCAGAGACATCTCCTTTTAGGGATTTAGAACAAGCTGTTCTTCCTGCCGTGATACCAAAGAAAGAAAAGCCTGAACTCTCAGAGCCTTCGCATCTGAACGGACCATCTTCTGACCTGGAGGCTGCCTTTCTAGGGAGGGATGTGGATGATGGTTCAGGCAGTCCACACTCCCCCCATCAGTTATGCTCAAAGAGCCTTCCCCCCCAGACTCTGAGTCAGAGCCTTAGCAATTCATTCAACTCCTCATACATGAGCAGTGACAATGAGTCAGATATTGAAGATGAAGACTTAAAGTTAGAGCTGCGACGACTACGAGAAAAGTATGTTTTCTCCTGTGAAAGCAAAATGGTAGCTATTATGACCTAGTCCTGCAGGCATTTTTGTGCATACCTGTAATCCCGGCAACTGGGGAAGCTGAGACAGGGGTATCACAAGTTCAAACTCAGCCTGGGCAGTTTAGAGACTTACTGAGAGTGTCTCAAGATTTTAAAAGAATGAGGATATAGCTCAGTGTGAAGGCCCTAGCTAGGTTCAATCTCCAGTACCAAGAAAAACCTCTAGATTCTGGTGCAAAGATTAATAATCTTTCACTGTAATATACTAATATGGCTTTCCTTTTAGTGAGAAGGTGATACCCTAAAGCTAAAGTTTACCTGAATATAGTTCATTTGGCTATATATTGTACTCATCAGGACCCATGTAATTTCTCATTAAGGGATTAATAGCATTTGTTATTAACCACTCCTGGCCGTTTGTCTATCAAATTACTTTTAATGTCTCTGGGATGTATGATTATATTGGCAGGTTTTGTTAATTATATTTGTCACATTGGATAAGAGTTGTGAATTTACCTATCTTTCCTTAAAAGTCAGGAAATCTTTTTTCCCTAACAAATTATCAGCCTTTGTTTGTTTGGGGTCTTTTGTTTTTGTTTTTTGAGTCAGGATCTCGCTATGTAGTTCAGGCTGTCTTTGAACTCAATTTATAGCCCAGGCTGGCCTCGAACTCAAAGTTATCCTCCTGCCCCAGCCTCCATGTGCTTGGATTAAGGCGCGAGCCACCATACCCAGCTATCAACCATTTTTGGTTGGATAGAAACTTGTTGGATAATGGGGACCAGCAAAATGAATTGACAAAATAGAAAATCTCATGGCAGTACATTTGGAGAAAGGTTCATAACTAAGTAAATATTTGAGTGTACATTTAAGAATATAATGTTTGGGGCTGGGGATTTAGCTCAGTGGTTCTGCCGCCTGCCTCGCAAGCGCAAGGACCCGAGTTCAATCCCCAGTAGCAAAAAAAAAAAGAAGAATATAATGTTTGTGGTCTGGGAATGTAGCTCAGCAGCACAGCGCCTGGCTGGTAAGTGCGAGGCCCTGACTTCGATTTCTGGTACCAAAAATATATATATACTGTTTGTTTGTGTATTTGTTTGTTGCAATGCTGAGTGTTGAAATCAGGGCCTCATGCATGCTAGACAAACACTATCACTGAGCTACATCCCTAGCCAATATGTTTTAATCTGTATTTGAACAAAATAGCTATAATATTTTGAATTGTTTATCTTTTGTAGACATCTTAAAGAGATTCAGGATCTGCAGAGTCGCCAGAAACATGAAATTGAATCTTTGTATACCAAACTGGGCAAGGTTCCCCCTGCTGTCATTATTCCCCCGGCTGCTCCCCTTTCAGGGAGAAGAAGGCGACCCACTAAGAGCAAAGGCAGCAAATCCAGTCGTAGCAGTTCATTGGGAAATAAAAGCCCACAGCTTTCAGGTAAAAAGCACTGGCCAAATCAGCCATCTTTTGTTTCTGTCTCCAACTGTTCATGTGGATGTTCTGTGAGAGTCTGGCTTTCCTAATATTCTTGCCTCCTTGACTTCTCTATTCCTCATATTTGTTAAACCTCTTTTTGAATCAATAGAAGTAGATGAATGATTACAATGGCTTCTTCCACTGTAATCCATCTTCATTTATAATTGTTCATAAGCCTAAACATTTAGCTTTGCCTGTTAGTTCATACAACCCACATTTAACCAAACTCTTTGACGTTAGGAAGCAAGTACTTCATCGTCTATTTAGTAAACTTTAGGTAGATTCTTCCTTTTAATGACTGACTTAGTCATAATTGCACATGGGATCAGTGTAAACATCAAATAATACTTGGGTGAGTTTAAGTTGTAACATCCTTGATGAAGCTTTTTATTTCATTTATATCATTTTTTTAAAGGCTAGGGGTATAGCTCAGTGGTAGAGCACTTGTCTAGCATGTGCAAGGCCGTGGGTTCAATCCCTAGTACAGGAGGAAAAAGAAAAAGAAGAGCCTGTATGTTCATTGAGAGAAGCTTTACATGTTTCCCTGTGCCTTGTGACTTTTTTGGGCAGGTAACCTATCTGGTCAGAGTACAGCTTCAGTCTTGCACCCCCAGCAGACCCTCCACCCTCCTGGCAACCTCCCAGACACCGGGCAGAATCAGCTGTTACAGCCTCTTAAGCCATCTCCCTCCAGTGACAACCTCTACTCAGCCTTCACTAGTGATGGTGCCATTTCAGTACCAAGTCTTTTGGGTCCAGGTCAAGGTAAGAAATCAAAACAGCCATCATTTTCCAGAAACATTGCAAATAGAGGTACTGTCGTACCTGGGACAAAAGCCTGATAAGTAACCTCTTGCCACCAGCTAACCAGAACACAGCCCGCTTGTTTGGGGGTTTTTTCGTTGTTTTGTTTTTGTTTTTGTTTTTGTATTTTGGAACTGGGAATTGAACTCGGGACCTTGTGCTTGCAAGGTGGGTGGTGGAACCACTGAGCTAAATCCCCGGCCCCAGTCCGCTTGTTGTACACTGATCAATCTTTGAGCTGAGCAGGGAAGTTGAGTGATAATTAGAATAATTGGATTCACTGCTCCTATTGGGTGAAAGAGCTTTTTTTCAAGGGATTACAGTGGAAAATTACATCTGCAACCTTTGCATAATTCATTTGAGATTTGCAAGTGGGTGGGCTTTAATACTAGACTGAGATTTCCTGGACCAAATTCTAAGGAGTTTCAGTACTTTCTGAAAGCTAATGTGTTCTCTTAGCCAATGTAGACTTTTTAACTTCTAAGTATGGCATTGGCAAACTAAGATGACTAGGCTTACAATATAATTTTTCATCCATATTCTACTTTCCAGATGTAGTTTTGTTTATCTATTACTGCTCAAAACATGCCTGCAGACAAAAGAGTTTCCAGTAACATTATTTTGTTTTGTTTTTTAACAAGTTTTTTTGTTTTTTGTTTTGTTTTGTTTTTTATTTTTGGTACTGGGGATCGAACTCGGGACCTAGCACTTGCCAAGCAGGTGGCAGAACCACTGAGCTAAATCCCCGGCCCTCCAGTAACATTAGAATAAGAATTGAAAGGAGTTAAATAAATAAATAATAAATAATAAAAAGAAAGGAGTTGCATATCTGGGTGGAAAAGAATAAAAAGAAGTATAGATAGCTAAGGTGCTTCTGCCACAATTTCATAGAAATTAAATTGTCTCTTCACAACATGAATGTATTTGACTGGTAAGAAACATAAAGTAGATAGCATTATTCCTATCAGAAAAGTTTCAGCATTGTGCAATAGAGGGAATTGAGGCCTGATATTTTCTGTCTTACTCATCTGACTTTCCACAGAAGCTAGTCTTTTGTGTGCCATCTTAGTACATTTCACCACTCCAGCCTCAAGTTTCTAACACCTTGTAGCTGTGTTCTGTCTCTTCTCCTCTCTCTGTTCTTCCCTGTTTCCCCCTCACAGGCTGTGCGAAGTTTAACTGTGCATCTGAGCAGGTGACATTCAAGCCTGGTGGCAGGAGGACCCGATTTCTGAGTACGCCCTGCTTGGCTCTTTGTGTGTAACACCTTTACTCCTTCCTTGTCCTCGTTTTCTGCTGCTTGGATCTGATATGTCACGCAGTCCATTTTCATTTATCTCTTGTGTATCATCTACTCAGTGGCTTGCTGAATGCTGTTACCCTCAGAAGTTTGGGTCCCCATGTTAATTATAGTAAAAGATGGAGAAATGACAATAGTTCTCTATAGACTTCAAAATAACTCTTGTAGAATTACTTCCGCCTAGATTTGTGGCAGGGTAAATATCAAGGCGCTAGACCATTGATGGTGAACCGTTTAGAGCTTTCAACAAACAGCCTGCTGTAGCATGTATGCCATAGGTTCACCACCACTGCTCTAGACTGTGGGCCATTGAAAGCAATGATGACTAAGTGTGCATTGCTGTCTCCCTACCCTGGCATTGGAAAGGACAGAAAGCATCTTGATCATTAATACTTAGATCCTGGCAGCAGGTAAAAGTTTACCCTGTTTTTTTCTGTTCTCTTAGTGTGTTGAAACCTTTTTTTCTCTGCAGTTAAGCCTTAGCATCTACCAGTTGAAAAGATGCTAGAAATATCTGTCGTCATTAGATCTTTCTACTACTTTGCCCATAACCCAGTAAGGGTTTTTACTATGGCTAAGATAAAGCATTTTTTCTGTTAAAGATCAAAGCCCAGCTCTTACAAGTGAAATCTGACTTTTTGATCTGATTGCTGGGATTTCCCAGCCTCTATTTAAAAACAAGATACAATAGCAAATCACCCCATCCTCCCCATACAGGCATGAGGACAGTGCCTATCTCCTAGGGCTGTTGTACAAATTTAGCTAGCATCTGTACACAAAAGAAGCTGGCATTCTGAAGCATTTGTGGTTTCCCTGTAATTACCCAAGGCCTATCTGGCACTTAGTAGGTGGTCAATAAATGTATGTTGGAAAAAAAATTTTTTAAATAAAAACAAAACTCAAGTTAAAAAAAAATTGATTAGAGTTTAAGTAACAATCTGTTAAGGCCTCAAACTTCTGGTGTGGTTATTTAAGTGCTTTTTAAATGCATGTGCTAAGACCGTCAGTGTTTCTGAGTATATGGGTCAGAGGTCTTTGGACCTCTTCCTGGTGGGAAGAATTTCCTTTGTTCTTTGTAGTGCCCAGATTTCAAGGTACCTTTGCATTACATTTAACTTCATTTCCCTCACTGATACATTTGTAACCTTCTAGTTGCCCTGTTCTTTTCCACCTTAGTTGGTAAAGTGGTCTTTTACCACATATCACTAGTCCAGAGCTATTTAACAAAGGAGGAGGTGGAAGGCATTACCCAGTTAGGTAGTTTTCTAAGCATGTGTGATTTGAGAACACTCAGATCCATAATTTTTCTGGTTAAGCTGGCCTGGACTGTACATATTAGCACCTTCACACTTGAATAAGCATTTAATTTGGATGTCCAGTTGGAAAGATGAAAAGACATTAGTAGGAGGTAAGTGTTTTAATGTACCTTGTCAGGCCTATGCTGAACAGACTGAAATGTTTAAGAAGAAAGAGAGAACACTAAGACCTCTTTTTGTGAAATATAAGATGACAAGTGCCGCTTTATTTAATTCTATCAATTTTCATCATGCTCTTAAAGGTAGTATTACCCTTGTTGTTCAGGTGAAAGTGGTTAGAAATATTAAATCTCCATTTGGGTCTACATGAGAGCCCATACATCTATCTGTTCAAGGCACAGCTTGCTGAACACATCCTAAGAGACAAAATGTAGAAAGAAAACAGGTACTTAGAAGGGTTGAGAACTTACTAGTTTTGGATACATTATCCTATGCTCTCAAAATAGGTAATGGTTTGGAAGCACGGCTTGGCTTAATGCTCTATTTATGTTCAAAGGTTGCTTGTTTTCCACATACTTTTAAAGAGTTTTGTGGAAGGGAAGGGGTTATTATATGTGTCTAGGATGTAGAAATGTAATCACCAATTTAAATTAACTTCAAACTGTAACAGTGGTACTAATTTTATTGGGCTTTATAACAACCCAGCAGGAGAAACAGGAAGTGGGACAGGGTCAGTGAAACACTGCTTGGGTATTTTCATTTCAAGAAGTAAACCAGAGAAACTAGAGTTTCTCCCCCATCCCAGAACTGTAATGCAAAACATTATACTTTTTTAGAAACAAAGACTGGGTATGGAAACTCAGTGTGTGTCAGCCAGGCAACAGATAACCTGTTAAAACTAACGGCCAATTAGATAAACATCCTGTAGAACCATACTTATGTCTAGGGCTACTAGGTCCAAGCCATCTGTCTCCCCTCCTGCTCTCTCTTGCTGGGCCTGTGTGTGCTGTTTGAAGAGTCTAAAGATTTTACACTGATGTTTCTTTAACACACTGCTCTTTCTTTGTGCTTCAGGGAAGATGGTGAAAAAAGTCTGTCCTTGCAACCAGCTCTGTAGTAATTATCTTTTCTTTCTGTTACTTTTGGTCGTTGATTGTGAAGCTTGTTATCCATGACCTCTTTGAACTCTAAAGCCTCATAACTCCCTGATTCCTAACTTGCATCTGTCTCTGCACCCTTTTCTAATATATTCTTTAACATGCTTAATTGCTAACTGCTGACTATAATTCCAAGTGGAGAGATCACCTCATAGTCAATGCTCTCCCCATGTGAGCCTAGCTCTGTAACAGTCATGGATTGGTAGTACCCGTGGTTGGGCGTGGGGTGATTGGGGGTGCTTGACTCCTAGGGAAAGAGAGTTCTTCAGTCAGCAATAATGTGCCAGAGCCGGGCGGTTCCATCCTATAATCACACACTCTGGAGGCAGAGGCAGGAGGATTGCTGTGAGTTCAAGGCCAGCCTGGGCTACATAGTGAGTCCCAGGTTAGCCTGAACTACATAGCGAAATCCTGTCTAAATCCCACTACCACCACTACCAAAACAAAAAAAAAGAAAGAATGTTTTATGTACTGTTCTACACTCTCCTGGGACCTCAGCAATGATTAAACTGTATAAGTTTCTGCCCTCACATTGTGTACATCGTAGGGAGATGGGTACAAGGCCAGTGAGGAGAGAACTACTTTATATAGAGTTTTGCTTCTTAGATGGAGGTTTCTCATTAAAATACAAATACAGTTCAGCAACCCAGCAGGCTACCAGTAAAGGTTTTGGAGAGAGTTATAGTGGCACCTAGTTCACAAACTTAATTCTTTCCACAATTCTGGTTGCAAACCAAATTGGAGGAGAACTGAATCAGATTCATTGGTTAGGTCCAATATTGACCTTATGGGGAAATTTGATTCAGTTCTCATCCAATTCAGTTTGCAAGCAGAATCGTGGAAAGAATTAAGTTTGTGAACCGAGGTACCACTGTATTTGTTTTTGTCTTTTTGGTTTTTGGTACCTGGGATCGAACTCAGGACCTTGTGCTTGTGAGGCAGGCAGTAGCACCATGGAGCTAAATCCCCAGCCCCCAAGGTACCACTGTAACAGGAACACTATACATATTTGGAATATTGGACAATACACTGTGGGCCACAATAGTTGTGGTTACTAGAATCTGGCAGCATGGGAGTCGAGGAAATGGATTTTGACAGAAGAAAATCAGAATTTGGAAGTTGAGGAAAGGTAAGTCTGTAATGTATTTTAGGTCTTTTCAGAAAACGGAAAGACTCAAGAGGTTAGAATGTTTTCCAGGCCTCCCTTCTAGTCAAGTCTATTTTATAGTCCAGCTTGCTTTTCCTAGGGGTTATTTTCTGGTCAGAAAGGAATATTTCCTTTTATTAACTGGAAACCTATTTACAGAACCTAGAATAAAAAAGTTAACGGTGTGGTTGACTCTCCCTTGTGGGGTAAACCCTACTTTCAGAATCCAGTATTGGGTAATATCATTTAGATTGAAAAGTGAATTTGGCTCTAAAGGGGCCTTACAGCATGAAGAGCAAGTCTCATCTGACTAGAGAGGTGTGACAACCCCTACCCTGCATGAGCTCTGTGGATTGGTGTGTCCACCACACTCAGCCCCTCGTGTTTGCTGTTGGACAGCCATTCGCTTGTGGTCATCTCTGTTGTGATCGTTCCACCAACCCTCCACACAGGATGCCACTCTCCTGCATGCCTGTCCTTGCTTTCTGGGTCTCTTCAGCATTGCGGCTGCCCATGCTCACTGTCTGTGCTTTCTACCCTACCTCTGTCTCCTATTTGTTGTCTGAGGAAGACTGTTTCCTGTGCTTTTATACTTTTCCATTTGGGTTTTCTGTACTGGAGGGGAACTCACTCTCCCTTTTGCACCATGAGTGGAATAACGATGCAAGCTGACACTCACATTGCAGTTTCATGTCTTGCCATGGTGGTAAGAAGCATGTGACCTTCCTCACTCTGCAGCTTCACCTCAGAGTTACCTGTCACTGCAGCACAGACATGCTTGTGTGTGCCATTCCCTGAGTGGTAAAATAGAAAAATGACTGACCCAATAGTGATTATAAAGGGCTTTAAGTGGCAGGGCTGCTTCAGCTGTGCTGCTGTGCTCTGGTGTGCTGCTTTGACCTTGAAATCAGAAAAATGCATGCACTTATTCAGGCCCAGCATTACTTGGGATACTGTAAGGCCTCCTGGCTCACAGCTAACTTGACTAGTTCTTACTTATTCTTTAGTGAATGTGAGATACAGTGGGAGGGGGCTTTCAAGAATAAAAATAAGACCATGACTTTTCTTTCCCTCTTCTCTAAAACTTGCCTCTTCGAATAACCTTCAGTGTGCCCTCCAGCAGAGCCGAAATCAGGCAGGACACAGACTCTTCCTTCCTTCTTCATCAGACCATAGAAATAGAATACCTTCATCATATCCTCAAAGCATCCTCTCCCCTCTGCACCCTTGCCTCAGCTGAATTTTCCTGTTGCTTCTACATGGCAGTGCTTGCTGTTCTAGGAAGTCAGGAGAAGGGGTGAGAATCCTTCAATCAGTTGAAACCAAGGTCATCTTCAGGAAAATGTGTCTTCCTGGAGTTGAAAGATTCACTTAGGCACTTCTCTTCCTCCTCTTACTCATGAGAAATTGAAAGGAATTGAAGGCTTAGCACCTTACAAATTTATTTTTATAAATTTATGTTTATGGATCTAAAAAATTTTGAACAGAGCATGCTACTTGTTATGCTATTGAAGAATGGCTAAGAATGTGGCAATATCCACATGGTTTGGGAGCCCCGTCTTTTCCATAGCTAAGCAGTGATCTCTGCATTCCTACTCCTACTTCAACCTACCCAGTGCACAAGAAATCCTTTCTTCTGCCTTGCACTCTGCAGCCAGCCTTTTTTACCATATTACACTCCCTCATCATCAGCATGATGCTAGGAATGGCGCATTGGCAGGAAGTTCCCAATCCGGAGGTGCTTTGAAAGGGGCCCCTGCCCTTCACGCCTGCCATTATCCTAAGTTGATCAGCTTATCTGCAGTTACTGAAGAGAAACATTCTTTTCATTATTCTATTGTTAAAAAACAAATGGCCAAAGAAAACCTTGGAATCTTCCTTTCTTGCATGGCTTCCCAACACCACCACCACCACCACCACCACCACCCCCGCCAATTCTGTGACTTGCCATTCATCATCTGTGACAAATTCCCTCTTCCTGGAATTATAACCCAAGCTCCTTTTAATGCTAGTATTCTTGTTGCTTATACCTCCAGGGACCAGCAGCACAAACACTGTCGGGGGTACAGTGAACATCCAAGCTGCCCAAGCTCAACCTCCTGCCATAACGTCCAGCAGGAAGGGCACGTTCACAGATGACCTGCACAAGCTAGTGGACAACTGGGCCCGAGACGCCATGAATCTTTCAGGCAGGAGAGGAAGCAAAGGACACATGAATTACGAGGTACGTCTTCCTTTTTTGCCATTTTCCTATTCTTGTCAGTATTACTTAACACAACTGAATCACAGTACAAACTACATAGGCTCCAAGGCTACTGCACCATTTTATGCCATGACCTCCTTTAGTAAGTAGCTTATGAATTTTAACACTTGGAAAAGCAAGACAAAAATCACCCAGGTGCCCTTTCACTTTTTCTTCCCTGAATCCTTAGCTCCTTATTGGTCAGATGAGTTTGTCTTCTCTTTTTCTTCAATGTCCTGAACTGCATGTACACACAAACATACATGGCTTCCTTCCCCTTCCAGTCAGTATAGTTATTTTTACCCCCATGTTAAGTATAGAGCCAGTAAACATTATAGAAGGTGTTGTTGCATTTTGCTATACCCTGTAAGATTAGAACAGTCTCAGTTCTAGAATTGTATTGAGTACCACCCATTTTACATCCATGGGTCTTATACCCTCACCAAACTTTAAATATAGTTGTTTTGTTCTCAGGGCCCTGGAATGGCAAGGAAGTTTTCTGCACCTGGGCAGCTGTGCATCTCCATGAACTCAAACTTGGGTGGTTCTGCCCCCATCTCTGCAGCATCAGCTACCTCTCTAGGTCATTTCACCAAATCTATGTGCCCCCCACAGCAGTACGGTTTTCCACCAACCACCTTTGGCCCTCAGTGGAGTGGGACAGGTGGCCCAGCACCACAGCCACTTGGTCAGTTCCAACCTGTAGGAACTGCTTCCTTGCAGAATTTCAACATCAGCAATTTGCAGAAATCCATCAGCAACCCGCCAGGTTCCAACCTTCGGACCACTTAGACCTAGAGATGTTAACTGAGTAGATCTGGGAACCAGAGATGGAATGCCAAGGGCTGGGGGGATGGAAAAGTAGCCTGTATACTAACTACTAGTGCTGCATTTAACTGGTTATTTCTAGCCAGAAGGGAATGTTTTTAAAACCGCCTTGAGCCCTCAGGATAGAGACTCTCCCTGCCCCTCCACTTACTGGAGTGGGTCAAGAAGGAGAGAGAAATTTTCCTGTGCCAGGGCAGCTTCAGACCATACTTTCCTATTTATCTTTACCACCACTGAGGCCTAGGGATAAAAGAATATCTTGTTATCAGGAAGTTATAGGAGAGCTTAGTGTAAAGCCAAACCTCATGTGTTGTAATTTGCAAGGCGATGGAGTTAATGGTGGTACATAACCCAAATCCTTTACTCCCTCAAAAATTCAGACCATAAGATGGAAAAAATGGGGTTCTCTCCTACTCTGCCCCCACCGTCACCCCCCTCCCCACCTTTAGAACCCAGTGGAAAATACCAGGGGACTGGGGTTGCAACCCTTTCTTAATGATAGGTCATTAGTGCTTTAAGCAAAAGATATTAGCAGCTCTGACTGCAGCATTAGCAATTAGGAAAAAAAAAATTACGTTCCCTGCGGACATGTAACTTTGCCATCAGTTTTGATGTGGAAACACTGTGATATATAAATGTTGTTGGACAACAGTAGTTTTAAGAGTAAAATATGAAAGGTTTAAAAAGTTCACACAAAAAAAGCTAGCTCTGTCCTTTACTCTTGAGACACTTTAACTTTTTCCTTTGTACTTCCATTGTATTAGATAAATAAATGTGAATGTAAAATTGTATAATTACTGTACTTGAATACTTCTGTTCTCCCAGTATTGCTTGCTGGATATTTTAGTGCCTTGGACTTATATTGCTTCTGCCATTAGCATTGACTTACCAGACTCCAGATCAGCAAAGGCGCATGGAAAGAAATCTTAGGTCCCTGTGACCCCAGCAGTGGATATGCCAAAGGGAAATTGAAAGTTTTTTTTTTTAAGTCATTCAACAGCTTTGTCTAGAGCAGGTGTAAAATGAGTAAGGTGAGAAGTTGAGTTGGCATCCATGGTTGAAAGCAGAAAGTTCTGTTTTAGGAGTAGTGAGGTAGGGTGTTAGGACAAAATTGGACAATTTAAAAGATGAAGGGAAGTGTTAGCTGAGCAAACAAAAAAGAAGGTCTAAAGAATGGGGAAACAGATGTGTCTTGAAGATGCGTGCTGCCTGGCCAATGACTGTTGTCTTACTGATTTGAGCTGGGCTTGAACAGATAAGACCAAGAAGAAGTGAAATGGAAAGAGAATAGGGTGGAGGCTGGCTTTGAAATTGGGCAGTGTGATAGTGAAGTCACAATGGAGAAAGTTGCTCTGAGAACCTGTTTGGATTGCTTTCCTATGTTGCACATGCACCATGCATTTCTCAGCTTGGGGTGCTATATTCTGTGCAAAGTGGACCCTCTTCTGAATAATAAGCACTATAGGAAAGGTTTGTTCCCACCCATTTCCTCTGTGATGTCCAAGTGGTTGCAGGTTCATAATCTATTGTGCCACCTCTATTTCCAGATTTCTAAGTAATGCATATTTTCATATGCATTCTCCCCTTAAATAATAACTGCAACCAACCAGTATTATTTAGTGCTATGCCTAGCATTACAGGCAGTTCTATTACTTGCAGAGCTTTCCAGATATACTGTCCTAATTGGCTATGTTTGGGATGTCATTATTCTCCGAAGATAAAGGTTAGAAGTCTTAATTTCTTGAGTGCTTCTTTTCTTGACTTTTAGTTGGGGAATTAAAATATTTCCAGCCTTTTACCCACCTCAATGGCACACTGCAGGAGTCACCACGACAGGAAGAGCCGGTGGCTACCTGAATCCTGTTCGTTCCTTTATGGGTCCTGTTTTCTTTAAGTTGGCCTAGGCCCCAGAGATATAAATGAATGCTGGAGATTTCTGGCAGGTAGAAACAAAAAGGACAGGGGTTTTAAGCCCTGCTTCAAAAGTGTTTTCTGATTTATTCTTTGCTTGCCATTCTTGTGGCAAGGATAAGAGTATGGATAGAACCAAGAAGGTGCCACATAAATGAGAAAAGATCACCTGTGGTGAATGAAACAGTACTTTCCACCAGAGGAATGAGGGAGCCAAATGCACCACGTTCCTGTTTTGTTACTTTGGTTTAGTAATTTTGAGATCTTTTCATTCATACACAAAAATAACTGGTTTTGTTTACTGTTGATTTTTCCCCCTCCTGTGGATGAAACAACTGAAGCCTAGAGGAACGAACTAGTGCTACTGAACTGTTTAAATTATTTTTGTGTTAATAGTACATTTTGAGTATCTTTTTCCACATTAAAAAGAACTTTCTGAATTATAAATGTTTTCCTTACATTATTTAACAATGTACACTGTTTTAAAAAAAGAATAAACAACTCAAACCTTGGGGTATCCCAGCAGCCATTAATTGTACATTTTGCACTAACTCTGGGTGTTGCGCTCCTTGTAAGACTGCGCTTTCTGCTTCAGTTTCTTACCTTTGTAGACTTTAATGAAACGTTCAAATAAACCAAACTTGCTTTTGTTGAGCTGTGGGGTTTTATTTCTAGCAAATACCTTTTTCACATTCTCATTGGCTCTGTTTTGAGATGTACACTGTTTATAACTGGATTCCTAATCCCCCCAGGAACTTATTTTTAATTAATGGTGCTGGGAATCAAACCAGGGCCAGATAAGTGCTCTACCACACAGCTGTACACCACCTCTTCCTCAGAAAGTTTTTTAGCAGCAGTTTTGCCCTGAACTAAGATTTTACTGCTGATTAATTTTGCTGAGAAAAATGGTAAGGACGTCAAAATGAAAGGATGAATACGTGATGAAATCTGTGTAACACACTAAGTGAGGTTAAAGCTTTTAGAAGACAGGGAAATCAGGGCAAGCTGCTGCTGCTGCTTCATCTCCCAAAAGAACAAAAGGTTGGCTGCCTTCTAGTACTTTAAGGTTGCTTGTCTCAGGTTCACAGCTTCCCAAAAGTGGGTCTATGATCCAAAAAGTTAATATCACTACTTCAGCGTTAGACACAACAGAGCCCAAAATGCACTTAAAAGAGAAAATTTACAAACTCATTTGAGGAGAATTATGAAACATAAACACTGAAAAATCAGTTTATGGTAGAGTAAGTCACATCTCACATCGGAAATTAAAATGGCTGCTGTTTTCTATTTTGCTAATAAGTAAAGAATTTGCTTTCTCAAAGTGCCTTTTCCTTCATCTCAGACCACTGTTTCTTTGGTTTGGAAAAAATACTGGTCTTGAAAGAATGCAAGATTGCAATGTCCTAAACCCATAAATGAGAGATTATAAAGGCCTCCCCCCCGTCCGCCCCCGTCCATCGTTAGCTTTCCAAGGTTTTTGCCAGAAAGAATTCATCCTTAAGTTGCACGCCACCACTCAAGTGTAATGAAATTGACACCATCCTACCCAGGTCATGAGTCACGCCTTGTTCAGCGCATCCACATGATGCACACCGTCTACTTAGTCAACTTTCAGCAGCCTTCCCAGTTATCAGATCGACTTTTTTGCAGTATCGCAGTGCTTGTGTTCAGGTAAACCTTATTTTACTGAATGGCCCCAGAGCAGACTCACAGTAGTAACACTCTATTTTGGATAGGCCCATAGACTGGGAGGCGGGGGCAGGGACTACTGTAATAGATGGGGGTTGCAGCCTTGATTGTTATACAAAGTTGCAAAGTAGGTAAGAACCACCACTATAGCCTTGTTCTTAAGATAAACTTCCAGACAGCCTTAACCATGAGACCCAAAGGGAGACTGTTCAACAGTTTAACTTAGGCAGCTGCTGAAGGGTGCTTAGGACTAAGGATCCCTGTATTGTGTGAGGGCAGGCAGTTATTGGCAATTCCTAAAAATGTCTATCTTTATTAATATAATAGCTTAGGAGTAAACAATGAAAAACCTCAAGAGCCAAAGGAAAGGTATTTCATCTGTCTCACCTCCCCACCACTGTGTGTGACACGCTGGATATAAAGTGCTTGGCTTTCTCTGCATGAGGTCTGACAGGTCCTCTGATGAGTGAGGTTCAGAATGAACTGGAGATAAAATTCATTCCCCAGGAATGATGAACAATTTCATGACCAAAAGCAGTTTTTCAAAGTCCATTTGTGAGAGTCTAATGATATCCATTGCCTCAGGTTAAGGTGGATCCAATTTCCTTTTCTTCATGTCCTGGCTCTTCCTATGAGATTCACAGTTTCCTGTAGAAGATAAAAAGGCTCAAGTGTACCTACAATGGTTTTACAGTAAGGAGTAAACAGCTAATCATTTCTAGATTGAACTGGTGGATCTATTTCAGACTAAGACCCCAAGAATGAAACTTAAGAGGAGGGCAGCTCCCTCTGTTAACCCAGACCAAGTGGCATCACAGTCCTAACAGACTTACTTTTATCAGGAAAAGCTCTTAATCCAGCCATGCCTCAGCTTCCTACAGCTGTGCAGAGCTGAGAAGGGTTGAACCTCAAGTCTGGAGCCCAAAGGAAACATTCTGGCCCTCAATCTACTTACTGTGTTGGAATGATTCTAGTTTCTTAAAATGAGATCTCTTCCTTCCTTTAAAATTCACGGAATTAAACCCAGGATCTTCCTTTAATTTTTGTTCCTAAACACATGTCTGCTACCTGATATGTGCTGGTTAGTGGTGTAAACTTGGGGTTGCCAGGGTCCAGACTTTTCTTGTGGCTTCTGACAGCAAACGCTGTATGGGATCTGGTGGTTCAGGACTGGGGTGCCAGAGGTCGGGGGTGGTTCTGGTTTAGACAAAGGCTTCACGATGTCCTCTAAGTCTGGAGTCAGATCCCACATTTCAAGGTTGTCTTCAGGATTCTCTGCAGAGATCACAGAGAAGTGTGTTGTCAGCCAACAGTCTCCTCACAGAAAGCACTGGGAAAGCGGGCCTAAGAAACTCCACATCTTAAGACAGATCTTGCAGTTTTCTTTCTTCGACCTCTTAAAAGTACACTGAACAATTTCATTGAGACAACAGAGGAGCTGAAGATGTGCCATCTGTTGGTCAGCCCCATCAATCAATTTTAGGATCTCTTCCCATTCTAAAACTTACGGGGCTAAAAAATGGGTTAAATTATTTTTCTCCCCCCAGTACTAGGGATTGAACCCACGGCCTTGAATATGTTAGATAAGCACTCTTTAACAATCTACAGCCCCAGCCCTTTTTTTTTTTTTGACACAGGGCCTTGTTATTAAGCCCAGGCTGGCCTCAAACTTGAGATCCTCTTGCATCACCCTCCTGAGTAGCATTACAGCCATGTGCCACAGCACTCAGCAAAAATGAAGATTTTTATGATTTTTTAAGATGTATTTTGTGAGTACCAAAAGTATGGAACATGGTAACTTACAAGGATTTCCTGTTTATTGGTTTTTTTAAAGTCATTTACCTTCAAGGATGCCTTTCCCCCTGAGTGGTTCTGAGACAGCACTGATGGGAGTACTATGTGTCAAAGGAGGGACCGGAAGGGCTGCTATGGTTTACACAAGAGAAAGGACAAGTCATCAGTCACCTAACTAAATGGAACCAGAGACAGTCTACTCCCCTTTAGTTATAAGCAGCTTGATGCCTAGGATGTCGGGGGCTCAGCCAGTAAAGGAACTTGATTCCATAGTACCCATTGTACCTCCAGGTCTGAGTCTGTTCCTCCCTCTCACCCAAGTGGGAAAAGCAAAGATTCGTCTCTTCTTTCATGGCAAGAACAGAAGGCTTCTTAGAAGCCAAGCCATCCAGTCCAGCGGCTTGGGCTATGGCTGTGGCTGTCTGATAAGGCTGGGGTCCCCTGGACTCCCCTCCCCCTCCCTGTGAGCTGCTGAAATGGACAGAAGCTAAAATCTGCAATAACTCAACTCAGGACAGGCCTGGGACCAAAAACCTGTTTCTTTTTTTCACATCAATCTCAGCCTGTCAGGGCTGCGAGGATAATAATGACCTGAACACAAAGCATGTCTTCTCAGCCCTCTCCATCATTTGTACAGGATGAACAGGCCAAAGCTCACTAGTCTGGGACAAGCCCTTTATTTTCTCTCTGAGCAACCCATTTCTCCTCCCAACTCCCGATCAGTCTACTACTCCCACTGAATTTGTACCCTGAGAAAAATATATTCAAAGCCATCTCAAAAACAAAGACTTTTTAACGTAGAGAAAACCAGAAAGTTATGTCAAGGCCTATTTGCTTCCCTAAAAAAAAAGATCACAGTCTTCAGAAATGGGAAACTGCATGGCCGGTTTTACCTCTGAACTTGTTGGACTCATCTATTCCACATGTAACTGGAGAGCAGCCCTAGTGAGGTCTGGTCTGGAGCCAGTCACACTGCCACTGGCAGAGAACTGGGCCGCCCTGTTCCCACAGTTCCTCCTGCAGAGCACACCTCCTGGGCCTCTGCTCCCATCCATCTCACCCTCACTCTGCTTTTCAACTGGAGCTGGAGCAAGTGTCTGAACCTGTGGCTGCTTCTCCATCTGCTCCCGGAACTGCTGCTGCAGCTGCTTTTGCCGGAGCTTCCGCTGGTAAGTGGCATCACTCTCCACAGTGGACGAGCTCAGGCTTCTGCATCCCAAGAGCAAAAAGGTGAGTTCCTGAGTTAACCAGGTTAACGACGAGAGATACGGGTCCTGAGGAAGCACACAAACCAACTTGCTGGCTCTGAAGGCAGAAAAGGCAGCAACCTAAGCCACATAAGAAGGGGCAGGAGAGGGAAGGGAGGGACCCTGGGCCCCGTACCGGGAGCTGCTGGCCTTATCTCCTTGTAGCACAATGTGGGGGTCACCCGTGTGGCTTCCTCTGCAAGGGGAGGTCACCTCCTGTGGTTTTAGGGGTCCCAGAGCCATGTTCAGCCGACAACTGTTGTATCTTGCCTGTTCCACAGACGGTTCAAAGTCCTGTCTCTTTGCTTTAGTTAAATCTACTTCAAGAGGCAGCTAATAAGGGAAGAAAGAAAGAAAAAATGTCCTTTTCCCATTCCTTTCTGTTCCCTGACTTGCAAACTTAGATTACTAGAAAAAGGTATGTGACAATCTATCATCATTGCTCCTAGGTCTTAAAACGCCAAAAACTGATGCTGATGAGTAATTATCTGAATATGAAATTAAGATGAATACATTTTTATAATAATATGAAAATGGAAATTCTAGTTGGATTGCTTGTCTACATTGAAACACAGTAGTAGGAATGAGCTTTGTATATTTCCTGCTGAAGCGGGCACAGAAGTGAGCTCTGAAAAGTATGAAAAGGACACCATCGTTGCTGTCAAGGACGTGGCACAGCTGGGACCTCTACACAACACTATGTGAGAGTGTGGACTAGTGTGGTCATGCTAGAAAATTAGAAGAATCTACTACAACTAACCATGTACTTAACCTCTGGCCCAGTAAGTTCTAAGAAAAGTGAGTGTATCCATTTAGCACACTAATAGTAGGTCTATTCAGAATAGCCAAAAGCTACCCAAAAACCCAAGTATCTACTAAAGACAGAAGGGAAAAATAAATTGTTATATACTCTTGCAATAAAAAATTATGTAATAGGGAAAATGTTGCATGTACCATGAATGAATCTCAAAAACATGCTGAATGATACAAAAAGTTTAGACTATATGATTCCAAAAAACATATATAATAATCCAAATAAATGTACCGTTAAAGTGGTTTTCCTTGGTAGTAGAAACAAAAGGAGGGATGGGCAGTGACTGCAGCAAACACAACTGGGAGGCTGAAGCAGGACTGCAAGTTTGAGTCCAGCCCAAGCAACAGCGAGACCGTCTCAAAATTAAAAAAGAAAAAAATTAAAGGGCTGGGAATGAAGCTTAATATGAAGCCCCCAGGTCCAATTCCCAGTACAGAAAAAAAAAAAATAATAATAATAATAATAATAATAATAATAAACCTAACCAAGGAAGTGAAAGATTTGTACATGAAAAATTTAAAAAACTACTAAAAGAAACTAAAGACAAATAAATGAAAAGATATTCCATGTTCATAAATTGGAAGACTTAACATTATAATGTTCATACTACCCAAAGTAATCTATAAATTCAATGCAATCCTGTAAAAATCCCATCAGCATTTTTGTAGAAATATATAAATTGACCTTAAAATTCACATGGAATCCCAGGGGACCCCAAATAGCAAAAAACAAAGAACAAAGTTGGAAGACTCACACCTCTAAAGTTCAAAACACAATACAGAGTTATAGTGATCATAAAGACAGACGTAGAGACCAATAGACTAGAGATCCCAGAAAGAAACCCTTGCGTGTGAGGTCAAACGATCACCAGTAAGAACAGCAAAGCCACTCGGTAGGGAAAGGACAGTCTCTCCAACAAAAGATGCTGGGAAACTAGGTGTCCTCATGCACAAGAATGAGATTTGACTCGAGTCTTACACCACACACAAAAATCAACTGAAAGTTGATTAAAGTCCTAAATGTCTAGAACTCCTAGGAAAAAAACAGAAAATGCTCTGTAACACTGGGTCTAGTAATAATTTTTTTTAATGGAAGTAAGAAAGCAAGTTTAATTTCAAAACATCCCTGATGCACACCAAGCACCTTGTAGTTTAAACTTCTAATGTTCTTTCATGCTTCCTAGCACTGCATGCTCTGTTTGCCCTGAGAAAATCTGAGCCAAGCCCATTCCATTGTTCATGTCTCGCGCTATCACGTCATCTGCTATCGCTCGGGCTTTCCAGGTGACGGTGATGACTACCTTGCTCTTTTCTTCCAGCCTTCTCTCTTCTCTGCCTTATTCCAAATGGCACTATCGACATTTTACTAGGAAAATTTTCCCTTTTCTTTCCTTCTTTTTTTCTTCCTTCTTTCTCTGTCTTTCTGACTTTCCATCTCTGCCCCTCTCTCTGTCTCTGTCTGTCTGTCTCTTTTCTGATAGGGTCTTGAACTCATCCTCATGGCAGTCCTCCTACCTCCGCCTCCCAAGTACTGGGATTCACAAGGATTTTTTAGATACAATGTCAAATCCATAAGCAACAAAAGCAAAAACACAAATGAACTACATCAAACTTAAAAACTTAAGACAGTCTACAGAATAGAAGGGAAAAAAATATATATATATATATATATAAATTATCTGATAAGGGGTTAAAAGCCAGAATACTAAGAGAACTGGAAATTAACAACAAACATTAAATAATCCTATTAAAGATGGCAAAGGAGGGGCCAGGAATTTAGCTCAGTGGTTCCGCCACCTGCCTTGCAAGCACAAGGTCCAGAGTTCGATCCCCAGTACCAAAACAAAAAAAAGATAAAAAATGGCAAAGGGCTTAAAAATCTCCAAAGATGATACAAATGGCCAGAAGGCTTCTGAAATAATGTTCAACATCATTAATCATCAGAGATATGCAAACCTAAACCACAATAAATTCACACTCATTAGGATGGCTGTTATTTAAAAAAAATTTAAAAGTAGGGTGCAGTGGCACATGCTCTGCAATCCAAGGTACTCAGGAGACTGGGGCAGGAAGATCACAAGTTCAAGGCCAACCTGGCCATTTAGCAAGACCCTGTCTCAAAAAGAAAAAAAATAGGAGGAATGTAGCTCAGTGACAGTGCTTACCTAGCTTGCATGAGGCCATGGGTTCAACTCCCAGTACCACCCCTAAATACAGTATGATCCAGCAAGCCCACTTCTGCATTATATCCACAAGAACTAAAAGTCATGCCTCCTGAGATATTTAAATATCTGTTCACAGTAGCATTTTTCACATAGTCAAGAGGCAAAGCAAACCCAAATGTCCATCAAGAGATGGGTGGATTTAAAAAACAAAGTATACACATAAAACAATATTCAGCCCTAAAAAGGAAGGAAATTCTGACTTACACTACCACATGGATGAATCCTGAAGCATTAATGCTAAGTGAAATAAACCTGGTGTAAAAAGGCAAAAACAGTGTACCATTGATGAGGTACTCAGAGTAGTCAAACTCCTAGAGACAGGAAGTAAATCACAGTAACACCTAGGAGGAAGGAAGAAGGGGGAAAGTTTGTTTTTTCAAGATGCAAATTCTGGAGATCAGTGTTACAACAATGAATATACTTAACACTTCTCATACAGATGCACATTCCTCTACTAGGGGCTCCATAAGAAAAAGATGGTGATGTTGCCCTGGGTGGCAGCATGGCAAGAGCCTCATAGGAGCCAGAGAGGAAGCAGTACCACTCCACGGGTGAAAGGAACAGGCCAGACTCCAAGTAAATGGGCCACGTGTGACCAGGGGTGCTCCTGAGAAGCTCAGATCGCATCAGCACTGAAAGGGAGAGCTGCACTACAAAGACAGCAGAGCTGAGGAAAGAGAAGACTGAGGCTTCCTTGGAAGAGTCTGGGAGTACCTGGGAGGTGACGGTGGGGCTGCAGAGGCCTACGGACTCACTCTGAGGATCTGTAGACCATTCCCAACCCCAGCTCTCCACATGTGAGATCAGGAAGGCGAGTTCTCTAGGCTCAGTTTCTCCTAACACGGAATGATGACGATGCCTGCTAGCACTAACATTCACGGTCTGAAATGAACATCCCAGACCCGTAGACAGCTGCATCTTCACTTATCCCTGCATCCCCCAAATTCTCAACCCATGAAGTGAGAGTCTGCCATAGTATCTCCCTGTACCCCTTTCCACTCACCCACTTCTGACATACCTGGCGTGGAAGCTTATTCAGTGATCTCAGATAGTCTTTGTCCAGAATACAGTTGCCAAGTGCATTCCCAAAACTTCTAAAGGGAAGAGGGAAGAGTGAAGCAGGGTTAAGAATTGTTAGGCTTGACTATCAAAGAACAGAATCGCAGCTTTGTGTTTCTCAGTGGCAGCAGAGGAAAAGGACACCAACATACATTCTCTGATTACCAAGCATTTGCTATGTCCCTGCCCTGGGCTGTGTTCTGAGAATGCAGCAATGAGCATAACCCACAAAGCCCGCGAGACAGTTGACCACCCAAATCCACACAGAAAGGCTTAATCCTGAGGGGCAGTGTCTGGACCCCGTGAGTGATCTGAGGTCACAGGCTGTGTGCCCTGAAAAAGGAGAGGAGACACTGGACGCTTCTTCTCACTCTTTGATTGCACCACGGAATGAGCAGGGCACTGCACCACACGCATGCTGCCATGATGGGCTCATCACAGGCCCCCTAGACTGAAACCTCCAAATTGTGAGCTAAAATAAACTTTTCTCTCTATGGGCTGCTTTATCTCAGAGATCTGTTACAGTCAGAGAAAGCTGAGCACCACTGTACTTTTGTGGAAAAGTCTCCAGGACACATCCCTGAGGGGTAGGGGAGGTGGCACCGCATACATAATACAGTAAGTCCCCAGCTTATGAATGAGTTCCGTTCCAGGAGAACTGCTCCTAATTTAGATTCATTCATACTAACAAAGGGAACCTTATACCATATACCTGTGAAAGTTGGCAACTTGTATGTTTGTAAGTCAGGAACTTACTGTACCTGAAAATAGAAGTCCTCAGCATAAGCACTGGGGCAGTATGAAACAAAGGCGGAAACAGAATAGACAGGGTCAAGGGTAGGGTGAGATTTATCTTTCCCTGTTATTTAGATCTCTGACCCACATGATTACCTCTTCCAAACACTGGTAGGAACTGAGAGCTGGTCAGAGGCAGGTGCGGCTCCAGCCCCTGGCCTACCTGAGAGCCCGCTTCAGGCCATCCGTCACCGCCTCCTTTCTGGCCTTTTCCAGGGACAGGGCCTTCGACTTGAGGCCCTCGCTAACACCATAGCCTACATCTTCATGATAGGAGCCATCCTGGGGGTGGAAAAGGAGTTGGAACTAACATGAAAAGCCGCAGTCCTGCCCTGGCTGCCCTGCTCTTCTTTTCCCGAGCAGCAGTGCTCACTGTGGCCCCACAGAACACAGGGGCCTTGCTGAAGGGGACATGGCACAGACGCCTGTGAGACATCAATATCCAGAACTGTTTCCAAGACCTGATCTGTGCTCAAAATGTCAGACCATTTCCCTTCCCCAGCCCCACAGCATAGGAGGGGCACATTTCTAACCCACCCCAAGTCTTTTTCCATGGTGTGTTACCCAGCAGGATGAAAACCTCTAGAAAACCAAAGAAAGGGGCAATTTGAAATCTGTATCTAATGGCCTCTCATTGGATAGCAAATCCTTTCATTTCTAATTAGGTAGTATCCACTTCTTGGCTTCGGCTGTTAGCTATGAGAGAATTAAATATAATGTTTAATGATAGCACTATTTGACTTCTGAAAACAGAAGGCATTCAAAGAAATGAGTCATATTGTAACAAAAGTCCATTCATAACTACTTAGGTGAACAAGGTTTTTCAGTACAATTTATAAAATTAAGATATCAAATAGAATTAATGAATGCTCATTTAAGAAGTATTCAACTGGGCTGGGGATTTAGCTCAGTGGTGCTGCACCTGCCTGGCAAGTACAAGGTCCTGAGTTCAATCCCCAGAACCAAAAAAACCAACAAAAAATTAATATTCAACTATGAATATATAAATACTAACTTAAAAAAAGCAACATCCATCTGACTAAAATATGCAAATGAGGACCAAAATGTATAATAGATAATGTGAAATAGGAAGAAAAGGTTCAAAGGGGAAGGAGAACTAGGGAGGAGGGTGGGGGAAAGGAAAGAAGAGAGAAAAAAAATGAGAAAAGAAGGAAAAATGGAAACAAAGCTTTTGTAAATAGGGATGGGTTGAGGGGTGGAAGGGAAGAAAAGGGAATGGGAAAAAACAAGAACCAAGATATATCATGTACTGGTAGAAAATCCCAATGATGAATGTGATCACAATGTATACCTAAAATGTACCAACAAATTTAATGAATAAAATAAAATTAAATGCATTTTCCATATATTTTATTTGTATTAAATTTTGATGTACTGACATTGTCTCCTCAACATAAACACAGTCATCCGATAATTGTGTTAACAGCAACTATCCTCACACAACCCAGGAGGTATTGTTAATATTTAAAGTCTTAAAGTCACTGGAAGGGTTGGGGATGCAGCTCAGTGATGAAGCACTTGCCCAACATGTAGGAAGCCTTGGGTTTCATCCCTAATACAAGATGAAGGAAAACAGTCACTGGAAATTTTTCCTCCAAAAAAGTTTTTTTGTTTTGTTTTTGTGGTACTGGGGATTGAACCTAGGGAGTATTAAGCTGCCTCCCAACCCTCCCTCGCTTTCCTGGAGGGACCTATTTTTTTGAGACAGGGTCTCAGGCTGACCTCAAACTCACACACTCCCTCATGTAGCCTCAAACTCTCCATCCTCCTGCCTTGGCTTCCCGAGCGCTGGGATTATAGGACATGTGCCACCATATCTGGCCCAGCCCCTTTTTAGAATTTTATTTTGCTAAGTTGCCCAGGCTGACCTCAAATTTGCAAGGCTGAGTTAGGGGGATCGCAGGATGGACACCAGCCTGGGCTACAAAGTGAGTTCTAGGCCAGTCTAGACTATATAACAAGACCTGCTCTCAAAACATTAAAAAAAGATTCAAAGGCCAGGGATTTAGCTCAGTGGTTCCACCGCCTGCTGCGCAAGCACAAGAACCCGAGTTCGATCTCTGGTACCAAAAAAAAAAAGATTCAAGCCGGGTACATGGCACACACCTGTAATCCCAGAGGTCTGTGAGTTTGAGGCCAGCCTGAACTACTTAGTGAATGCTCATTTAAAAAAAAAAAAAATGGTATTATTTCAAAATGTCAAATTTTACACTGTATTAAAAAATATAACCTTTGCAACTACCTACATATGTGAATGTCAACTTAAAAACAGGCAAGAGGCCAGAATTTTTCAAAATTCTTTTGAGGGACCATGTGAATCCCACCCACCATCCTAGGGACACTGGCTGGGACACTGGCTGGGACACTGGCTGGGACTCTGCTCTCCAGCCAGGCTACACCACGGGCCAGAGATGTTCCTCCTGCTTTCTGTCACCACCAAGCCTCCCAGGCAGCAGCTCTGCCCCGTCACCCTCACCTTCAACTGCACCCTCACAAACGCACAGACTCCCACGTAGAACTTGCCATTGTTGAGGTCAATAAAGTCTAGAAGTGTAAAGAGAACCAGGTGAAGACTGATTCCTGTGGCTCCTGCAGGCCACGGATCCTCCTAGTTCCATCCCCACCCACCCGGTCTGCGAGCAGAGCTACGTGCTGAAGAAGGGAGTGGAGCAACCCCGACCCGGCCACATACTCACCCACGCTCTGCTGCGTGACAGAGTGAGCCCAGCCGTTGTACCCAAACATCTCGTTGGCCAGATTAATGACCTTGTGACCCTCAATGTAACACACCTAGGAAAAGAAATTAAGATAAAGCTATGTTGGGCTGGGGATTTAGCTCAGCGGTTCTGCCACCTGCCTTGCATGCACGAGTTCGACCCTTGGTACCAAAAAAACAAAATAAAACAAAACTAAACAAAACAAAAAAACAAGTTAAAAAAAAAAAAGATAAAGCTATATTAAAATTCCTTGGCACAGGGGCCGGGGATTTAGCTCAGTGGTTTCGCTGCCTGCTGCACAAGAGCAAAGACCCGAGTTTGATCTCCGATACCAAAAAAACCCACAAAATTCCTTGGCACATTTAAACATGAATAAAATTTACTTCATTTATTCCTTGTGTGTTCTGCTAATACTGTTTAATTATAGGGAAATTCTCACTGAATGTATTTCAAAGATCTTCTAGACACAACTAGCTAGAATAAACAGCCTATCTGAGGGGAAGGAATAGCCTAGAGAAGAAATATCTACTCAACTAACAGTTTCCAAAACCAAGAGTTTCTAAAAAAGTACAAATCTCTGGTTAACATATTTTATGAAAAATTAAAAACATAGAGAAATTTAAGTCAGGGTCTAGGGCTGTGGCTCAGTGGTAGAGTGCCTACTTAGCATGGAGGCGGCCATGGGTTCCAGCCTCAGCACCACAAAAGAAGAAGACGGAAAAGGAGAAGGAGGAAGAGGAGGAGGAAGAGGAAAAGCAGAAGATAGTTGTTAAAATTAGAAGCAAATGGCAAGGGGTGCATTTTCAAAAGATAGTGGAAGAATCCTGACATGGCAGTTATACAAGCCTCAAACAAGGCTTGAGCCACTTCAGCTGACAAAGAAGTACAGAGCCCACCCCTCCCACAGGCACTAGGAAACATGAACACTAGGAAACTGTGAACAAGAGCCTTCTGGATCGAGGTACCACAGGGTGGGTGGCAAGAGCATCTAGCAGTCTGCTGCCTGGGCACCCACTTGCCAAGCCAGGAGACTCTCCTACCTTCTGGCCTCCACCAGCCATGCGGCTACTGATGTACTCCGGGCCCAACCTCTGGCGCAGGGCGCTCTGGATGGCCTGGTACTCTTCCGCTGTGTACTGGCACTGTAATCCAGGAGGGAAAACCAAGCTGGCATTTCCACCATCACTTCCATCAGCACCCCTCAAGTACACAATGTCCATAAGTATCAAAATATTGCTTGGGCACTGGAGTGCTACTCAATGGTGAACTTGCCTAGCATGTGCAAGGCCCTGGGTTCCATCCCCAACACCTAAAAAAATAACACCACATGGTATCACCTTACTAGGACGTTTATGTACTAGTTCAAAATGTTTTTAAAAAGTAGTGAGGAAGCCAGGCATGGTGGCACATGCCTGTAATCCCACCACTCAGGAGGCTGAGGCAGGAGGATCACCATGAGTTCAAGGCCAGCCTGGGCTACAGAGTGAGAACCTATCTCAAAATAAAACAAAACAAAAAGTAGTGAGGATCTCCCCACATGAGCACAGAGAGACTTAAGCCACACTTTCCATCGGCCATCAGAATGACACCATCGTGTACACAGCCAGGCACAACTCCGCCATGCCCTGGTGGCAGAGTCAGTGTGAAAGGGCAAACGGTACCTTAGTGATATCAGGGAACTAATTTTACTCTCATGGCTACTGAAAAGGTCTTGTGAACTCCTAGGGGTCCCAGAACCACATTTTGAGAGCCACCTTATTAAACTTTCTAGCAGGTGCTACCATCCTTCAAACTAAGTTTTGAAGTTGGTTCATTTTGGAGTTGGTTGCTTAGCTTTGGTGGGGTTTTGGTTTTGTTTCGTGTAGTTATTCCAGTGCTAATGATCAAACCCTGGGCCTCCTGCAGTCTAGGCAAGTGCTCCCCCAGCCCTCAAAAACTAAACCAGAAAATTAAAGCTGCCACCTCAGTCTATATATGATGGTTACACAGGTTTGAGGGAAGAGAAAAAGCATGAACAAGATAGGAATCTTGTTTCCATTTGTCCTGTCCAAAGTTTTAGAGCTGCTTCTCCAAGTCAACAACTCCCCATCCTACACATATAAAATCCACTACTATTCACAGTTTCTGGTTTTGTCCCCTTGCCCTATTTAAATGAGATAAATACTATACTAACAAATCTCCAGTAAGGACAAAGAGTTTGGTTGGAGCAAGAATCTCTTTTCAACACACAGAGCATTTCCTCAAAGAACGTGACGCCAGTAACTTTGGTGTCCCTCAGAGAGAGAACTGGGTGGCAAGGTGACAGGCGTGACAGGGAAACTGGAAGACTTTTCACAGTCTGTTTTGTTTTGAATTTTCTATCATATAAATGGTAAAATTTTGTCATATGAATAAATTTACATCTAAAGGTAATCCCCTAAAAGTTCCAAAATGTACTTGGAGTTCCTCAAAGATCACCCAAATAATGCATCTAAAGGAAAAATGCAATAAATAGCTTCCATGTGTGTGGTGGTCTACCGATCATTCATCATAACTTTCCTACTTAACCTCATTCTTTCCAGAGAAGAAGAACCCACAGTTACCTGTCCAAAGCATAGCACAGAGTTGCCTCCAGCAGAAGGAGGAAGGCTGTCGCCGCCTCTAAGCACTGCTTCCTCAGTCCCAGACATGGTGGTTCTGGTTGGCCTCTATATAACTAAAAGATTAAAAAGAAGATCTCAAAGAATGCTAAAGGTAAAAGTCAAGTGCCTCTACTGAAAATCAGATAAAGCCCCCATAGGCAATAGCCTATAAGGTACCGTCTGTACTTTCAAGTTCAGTGGTTAGCTATGGTCTGTCAAGCCACTGAAAATCCTACAGGGTCTGCTCTAGCTTTCTGGTGATGTGTGCTACTGTGATGGTGCTTATTAAAAGTGATTTTTAAGGGCCGGGGATTTAGCTCGGTGCCACCGCCTGCTTCGCAAATGCAAGGTCCCGAGTTCGATCCCCGGTACCAAAAAAAAAAAAGTGATTTTTACAATGAAAATATGTTATATTTAAAATTGTGGGGTGGGGAGCACGAGGACGCCGCCAACGCGCGTGCGCGCAGCCGCAGGGCGGCCAGTCTGCGTGCGGGAGTGGGAGGCGGCGGCCTTATCCGCTGACTGCTCAGTGATACGCCTCGCCTCGGAGCCATGAACCGGTTTGGTACCGGGTTGGTAGGAGGTACGGCGACCCCGTAGCCGCCCCGGAAAGCCCGTAGTAATGAGAACCTGGAAAAAATCGCTATGTCTCTGGATGATATTATCAAATTGAATAGAAAGGAAGGAAAGAAGCAGAATTTTCCGAGACTAAATAGAAGACTCCAGCAAACTAGTGCTGGGCAATTCAGGATGAGAGTTCGGTGGGGAATCCAGCAGAATTCTGGTTTTGGTAAAACTAGTCTGAGCCGAAGAGGAAAAGTAATGCCTGGGAAGAGACGTCCTTATGGAGTTACTACTGGCCTTGCAGCCAGAAAAGCAACTGGAATTCAAAAAGGAGTTAGTCCTATGAATCGTCCACCTCTAAGTGACAAGAATATAGAACCATATTTTCCAGTGTTAAAAAGGAAAGCAAACCTTCTGAGACAAAATGAAGTGCAAAGGAAACCAGCTGCAGTTCTCAAGAGACCTAATCAGTTAAACAGAAAAAATAACACTCCAGCTAATTTTACCAGGAGTGGAAATAAATTAAGCCATCAGAAAGACACTCATCAGGCAACTTTTCTTTTCCGAAGAGGCCTGAAGGTTCTGGCCCAGTTGAACACAGAACAACTGTTAGACGATGTAGCAGCAAAGACAACTCGTCAGTGGCGTACTTCCACCACAAATGGAGGAATTTTGACTGTGTTCATTGACAATCCTGGGGCGGTACAGTGCCCAGTAAATCAGAAACCACGATTAACTCGTACTGATGTACCCTCATTCTTGACAAAACGGGAACAGTCCGATGTAAAGAAAGTTCCTAAAGGTGTCCCTCTACAATTTGAGATAGTGTTGGGAAACAGACAGGGAGGACTTTGAATTAAAGATTTGGAATCCTGAAGGAACAAAGAGCCACTCTGACGTACAACAAAGGAGGAAGCCGCTTTGTCACTGTGGGATAGATCCCACGTCAAAGGACCTTTTGAGTGATGACTCTGAGAAGTTGAACTGCTTGAAGAGTTCATCACAGAAATTCAAGAATCTTTTTTTTTTTGGTACCGGGGATCGAACTCGGGTCCTTGCGCTTGCACAGCAGGCGGTAAAACCAGTGAGCTAAATCCCTGGCCCAAATTCAAGAATCTTTACTTCAAAATATTCACAAGGCTAAATAACTCTTATTTTTGAAGTTTTTTTTTTAAACATGTATAAAATAATGCCCTGAAAGGTAACAGGGAATATACCTATCTGTTCTTAAAGATTTCATGGTTGGCCCAGACAGAATAATTTTCTGTTGACTTCCTTGGTTCCTCATGCAGATGAATGAAAGAAAGAAGAAAAGAAAGAAACAGAAAGAGATTATTTTTATGATAGAGATATTTAGGATCTTACACCTTTGCTCACTTTTTAGACTTTGCCATGATAAAATTTTGTCTTCTGTAATACGAGTAGGTCCCTTTGTTGCTGTCACTTATCCTTTAAAGAGTGCTGATGTACTAAGTGCAGTTGCCTCTTCTTCATTAGACACATTTTTTAAAACCTTATGAGAATTCCAGTTTTGGCTTTTAAGATTTATAGATCTGGAACAGGGTTCATTTTTCAGGTGGTGTTAAGTTAGACCCCTGGAGTTGTAAATCTTTAGTGCTGAACTTTTAACAAAAAAATGTGGTTCTTGGCATTAGTCTCAGTTTAAAATGTTGGTGTATGAAGGCTGTAAATGCACGCTTACAGAGTTACCCGATAGGACACTGGAAGAGGTCCAGTGTGAAAAGCTGAGTTTGTGTTTAGTAATGAAGAAAGCATGCGAGGAAGGAGCAGGTTGAAGGACCAGAAACTTAGGTGAAAAGCTTCAAAACCCAGGTCAGAGATAAACTCTGGATTTAGTGTCGTCTTGAGTCTAGTGTCTTCAGATCCTTCTTCAAGTGATACTTAGAATTTTAGTTTTAAAAAGGCTTTGAATCCCTTACATATTTTGATAGTAAAATTAATACCCTTACAGTCCTACACTTTCTTATTCAAAAAGTTAAAATTTATAAGCTTACTAAATTAATTTATAGCTCCAGAAAGAAAAATATGTCAGAAAGAAAAAAAATGTGTAAAATTACAATGGAGTTACATTGTAAACTTTGTTATATACCTTCCACTCAGATTTTTTGTATGATATAAAATTCATGCATTTAAGCGAGAAAGAGCTTTTCTTCCTGTACTCTGGAGAGGTGGGAGGAGTTAGTCTGTTGTGCCAAGATAGTGCTGAGAGTCTTCAGAAATTGTGTACTACAAATTACAGTAAAATGCCAAAATATAGAAAAATATTCCAGCTGAAAATTAGCAAGTTTGGTCATTTTGAAGCTTGACTTTTTGGTTTATCATAATGTTCAAATTTCTAAGTAGGTGTTTTTCTCTGGCTTATTTTATTAGTGATGACTTTTCCTATAAAACAAAACAAAACATTATCACCCCTGCCTACCTTGCATTGTATACTAGATTTTACTGTCTCTTATGTTCATTGGGTTACTTACTGGTCTATGCTAGCCATGGGAAGCTATCAGTAACAGTTTCATGCTTATACCAAAGAAATCTGATCCTTAATATACGATATTTTGCCAGTACTACACTTGATAAGGGATTATTGGAACCCAGTCACAGAATTTGAAAATAAACTCTACCTCTTCTTAGCAATTTGAATCTTTTCATAGAGCCCAAGGACTCACTGCAAAACATTTTTGCAAATATGAATATTTAATATTTGATCCAAGAACAATATATTTTAGACTGCCTGGAATTACTGGTAGCTTATTTTAAAACAAAGGAAAAACAACTGAGCATGAGTTTGCAGTCTTTAGAACAGTTTTTGAAAATATAGTATAAAAGGGTTTTCATTTTCCTCTTATTTTAAATATTACTATAAAGAGGTATTTTTATGTCATTTTTTAGAAGACCTTAAAAACTGCCCCAAATGTTGACGTTAAGTGCATCAAATAACAAAGTGTCTTTGGTATATTAAACTTTTGCAATTCATGCATCTGTAATTTTCTTTTAAAGTAATTTTTGCCTTTGGTACAAATTAAAACTCTTGAGTGCTAGCATGTTGTATATAAACAAAACAATATACTTTGTTGGGATTCTTCCTTTCTTGGAATGTGGTTGTAGTCATCCTTGTTCAGTTCTTAAAATATTTTTTCTTGCATCTTTTTTTTTTTTTGGTACCAGGGATCGAACTCGGGTCCTTGCGCTTGCGGAGCAGGCGGCGGAACCACTGAGCTAAATCCCCGGTCCAAAATATTTTTTCTTAAATGGGATGCAACTTAAAATTTTCTTTGCATCAAGGTGTATGCAAAACATTGATGCAGTGCATCACAAAGTGAAAGTTTGTATTTAATGAGGAGGTACTTCACACTACTTTTTCGTGTTTTTTGGAAAAGTTACATTTAGCTCTATTCTGAAGCTGTTCATTTTTAACAAATAAAATGTAACAGGTTTCACATGGTTTATTCTTAGCTACAAAGATCGGAGTTGTGGTTTTTAGATTGTTCTGTGTTACAAAGAACTTTGATTAGTGATTATTCATAATTTTTAGAATTTGAAGTTTCCTGCCAGTTGAATTAGTAAAACAACCTAGACTCTTCTCTCAACATCTTTGGTACTGGGGATCAAACTCAGGAGCTGGTTCTTGCAAGGCAGGTGCAGCATCTCACCATCCTTCTTAACTGCTTTCTGGCCATTTCATTCATCGTATCTTCAATTGGAGGTAGAGAGGAAGAATTAAAGAAGAGAATAAAATTACTTAACAATAGAGAATATTACACTAGATGAGCCTTTAGGTATGATCTTCTTTAACCCTGTTTTTAGGTTTTGGTAAAGTGAGGCCCAACATTTTCCAAAACTTGACTGTAGCAAATACGGTTTGAGCCTCAGATCTTATAATTGTCAGATGATGATAAATTGCTTCTTTGAATACCACAGAAAGTGGAAAGGTATGGGCTTGTCACATATCTAAGAAATAATAATTGGCTGTACTTTAGCATTTGTGTCATGGCAAGTAAATCTGCCCTATCAGTGATGATTGATGCTTCATTACTTTGGTATTAAATTAGGAAGACTTACTAGAAAAATGCATTCTATATAATCAGACGTTATGTTATTTTTTTAAATAGGCATAAACTTTTCACCATTTTAATTATGAGCAAATCATAAAATACTTCTATGTATAAGAAATGTATAGTCAGGCCCAGTGCCACACGCCTGAAATCCCAATGGCTTAGGAGGCTGAGGCAGGAGGATTACAGAATTAACCCAGCCAAAAGCTGGGGATGTAGCTCAGTCCAAAGGCCCTGAGTTCAGTCCCCCGTACCACAAAAGTTATAACCTTCATTGCCCACTGGGTACTTTTTGTTAGAATAGGTATGTATATCATATTGCTGCTAGTAGCTTTGTAATTCACATAGCATATGCAATTTCGGGGTAATTTTTGTTTTAATATATTTTTACAGTAAAGAGAAGAGAAACTGGGGATGATAGTGCACACCTGGGAGTACAGCACCTTGGGAGTCCAAGGCAGGAGGATCATGAGTTCAAGCCTATCCTGGGCAACTTAGCAATACCCTGTCTTTAAAAAATCAAAAAAGGCTGGGGGATGTATTTCAGGGCAAAGGCCTTGGTACCAGTCTACCGGCAAATAAGAGGGAGTAAAGTAGCTCACTTGGCACTACTAAGACAGAATTTCATGTATTACAGATACAGGCAGTATTAAAATTTCTAATCAGTAGCTCTTTAAACTTCATCGGGATTATATATGTTTTTATACCACTGTAAAAAAATTAAGCATGTGATTTAAGTGTCCCTTTAAAGAGAGTTCTTTCAGGATATAGTAAGTCCCTGACTTATGAACGAGTTCCATTTCAGGAAAACATTCATAAGTTGGATTTGTTTTTAAGTCTGACAAAGTGAGTCTTATACTACTATACTTTCAATTTGTTTCCATGATTATTGCTTTGCACTTCCTAGCAGTCCCCTCCTCATCGCCACTGCTTTTCCTCTTGCTTCCAGACATCCTGGGCTCTGATTGAGCACTGTACTACTTCCTGTACACTACCACACTGTACAGTAAGCACACAGCAGCACAACTGTGACAGTGTCTAGAAGACACTTGAGCTACTTTCGCAACTTGTTCCCATCTATAAATGTTCACATCTGTGAATGTTCATAATGGGAGGTCTGCTTGTATCTGTGAAAGTTTGCAACTCGAATGTTCCTAAGTCAGAAACTTAACCAGACATCAACTTGGAGTTAGTCTTTTTTTAAAATGACACTTCAAGGGCCGGGGATTTAGCTCAGTGGTTCCGCCGCATGCCTTGCCAAATTCGATCCCCCATACCAAAAAAAAAGCTTCTAAAATGACACTTCAATAAACTTTAGTCATTTGTGACAAGGATTTTGGACTACTGTGAACCACTAATAAGGATTTAAAGATTTGCTTGGAAACCGTGGACTTCTAATGTCTTAATTTCTCCTTCGGCACTTTTCTACTTGAAGTCATTCAACAAACTTGATAAAGCAATATGTGATGCCAAAAAAATTAATTAAATAAATAAATAAATAAAATAAAATTGTGTGGGGGCACTGGCCAGAGGTATGTGTGAGATGAATGTGCAGAAGTAAGGGACATTTGGAGCCACACACCCAAAACCTCCAGGAATGCATGGATAGAGATTAAAAGATAGCCTACAGTAGGCCCACAAGTCACAGTAGGATGAAAACGCATTGCCTTAAGAAATGAATGCTCTGGCCCTCATCATCCCCATACTCTGATTTATTAGGCTGGCCCTAAGGTCAGTCATTTAATCGACCCCCTGACCTTACCCTGTCTTTCTCCTGTCCTTCCCCTTTCCCCTACATGAATTCCTGTACCAACATCCTTCCTTTGTCCTTCATCCTTGCTTCTTGGTTCTATTGATAAAAAGCCACAGAAGCTTCAGTTCAGGGAGGTCCTTATAAGACTCTCACGCTGGGGGGTCTTAAGGGCAGTTCCTCTGGGCCTTCTTGGAGTTTGAACTGGACAGTGATTCTGAGTAATCTTTCATCCTTTGCACCATGCCACAGTCATGAACAGGGACATAATTTTTAAAAATTAAAATTACACAAATGCTCTCTAAAGAAAAGTAAACTACTACTACCTAATAGAGTAACTATGTTAGGTGATGTGTTAAGCAGCTTGATTGTGGTAACCATTTCATAATGAACACACATCAAATCATCACATTGTACACCTAAAATATATATAATTTTGTCAATCATATTTCAATAAATCGAGAGGTAGGAAATACATGAGTCTGTTTTATGGTTATAAAAAAAATTACCTCCTATATCAGCATCATGACTCTGGTCTGTGTGGGGTCAAAACTGAAATATAAGCTGCAATAACTGAACCATTTTCTAGGTAGCTGGAGGGAGGAGACTAACAGAAAGGAAGCAACTGAAAAAAAAAGGAAGACAATACAGAAGACCTTTAACATTCAGGAAAAACAGGATGGCACTATGCCTGACTGGACCCTGGGCAAGCAGCAGCGGCACTTGAAAATGTACTAGAAATTCAGATTTCCAGACCCACTCCATACCTGCTGAATCAGAAACTCTGGGAGTGGGGCCCAGTAGCCTGTACCTCATGAACAGGTGATTCTGCTACATGCTCAAGTTTGAGACCATAGTCTGAGACTATGCAAGTTCATAAAGTCCAAGGAAATAGAATTATTCTCAGAAAAATTACCCACAACTGCTGACCTCCTGCGTGACTGCTCTACACCTGTCTCAATGAAACTGCTTCACAGTTGAGCCTCAGCAAGTTTACATGTTCTAAATCTTAAGATTATTTGCTAACAGAACCCCAAATCCACAGTATTCCATGTGGTATTACAACATAATCTTTGAGTTCAAGTTCCAGTGTAGAATTCTGGCTCCCTCGCCCACTGGGTACTTGACCAAGGAGAGGACGTATCTAAGTGACACTTCCTCACTGGAAGATGGAGATATAGTAGTCCTTATATTTCCTGGGGCTACTGTGAAGATCCAATGTGATACTGCATGAAAAGGCATTAGAATAGCACCTGACATATAGTATGTGGTAAATAAAAGCTATTATAATTTCATGTTAATTTTCTTACATACATTATAATGAGATGCAAAAAAAATTTCAGTGATCATAAAACATACTTCATCTAATGATAAATTTACTTATAATCTAGTACTAAAAAACTAGGATAGAGGCCTCAACTAAGTTAGATAATAATTAGTGGCTAAAATTTTTATTTTTTAATTAATTTTATCATTTGATTTATTACATATTTATTTTGCAGTGCTGGGGATCAAACCCAGGGCCTTGCACATGGCTAGGCAAGTGCCTTATAACTAAGGTACCCCTCAGTCCCTAAAATTTTTAAACAAGAAATAGTGTCTGATGTAATAGTCATGCCAATTACCCTGACCTGATCATTACACATGAATAGAAGGGAATATTATTTGAAACGTCAATATAAATGCTATAAAAGTTATTTAAGTGTATCTGTCTCAGAGATAATGGAACAGTGTGGTTGGCAGGGGCCTCTTCTTTCCAAAACAAAACTTCTGGTACTGTTTGTGTTCATATATGTGTATTATTTTAATTAAAAATTTAAATATCTGTTCTATAAAATGAAGGCCACTAAGCCAAGTACAGTGGCACATGCCTGTAATCTCAGCTACTTGGGAGGCTGAGTAGGAGGATTACAAATTCAAGATCAATCTGGGCAACTTTGCAAGACCTGGTATCAAAATAAAAACCAAAAAGGTCTATGAAGGTGGCATAGTCGTAGAGCACCCTGGGTTTTATCCCCAGTAGAGCTAAAAACAAATTTAAAAATAGAGGCCAGCCAGTTTTGTTTCTGTAAAGGACCAGCTAATAAATATTTTAGTTTTTGGTCACAACTACTCAATGCTGGCATTCTGACATGAAAGCAGCCAGAGAAAATATGTAAATGAAGGGGCACAGATGTGTCCCAATCAAACTTTATAAAAAGATGGCAGATTTGCCCACAGGGCACACTGGGCCAGGCCCCGTCATAAAGCATGCTTTGAACTCTATAGTCAGAGATGGCTCCATAGCCAGATCCAGCAGATATTAATTAAATTGGACAACTGATTGACCTCTCTGCCCCAATTTCCTCATCTGTAAAAGGAAATATTAGTGAGATCCTCCAAAATTTATTATCTTACAATGATATGATAATAATAGCTTCCAGCAAGAATCATCAGTAGATACTAAAAGGTTGTTGGGAACAGGTTATTCTATTCAAAGTCTCAAGTGAGCAGCCAGCAAGCTCTCTGTTGAAGGAACACACTTTGTGTATGTATTTAATGCCACTGAATTATACCCTTAAAAATAGTTAAGTGGTAAATTTTATGTTATGTATATCTTCTCATATAAACAAAAGGGAAGTGGGCCAGGGGTGTGGCTCAGCAGTGGCATACTACGGCGAAAGGGAAAAAGAAAGGGGAACAGCTTAGCTCAGTGAAAAGTGTGCCTCGACCACACCAGGACTGATGCAGTGTGGTGGTCCCGGTCCCTCTGAGAGCTACATCAGCCAGCACAGGTGGCCTCCAAGATCATCACTGCAGGGGTGGAAGAGCTGAAGAAGTCACGCTACACCCAGGTGCCTCAGCCCTGCAGCAGCAGGAGTCACTTCTGCTCACGGTACACTGGAAAGAACCTGTCATGTACACAGCCCCAGCTGACTGGAGAAGGCTGGGAAATGTAAGCAGGCATTTGCACATTTGGTGGGCACTGTACTAGCCAAAACCACTGTTCCTCCCTCTGACATGAGCCCCCGGGAAGACGGGGAAATCCTTCCGATTCCTGGCATCACCAGTGACCAGCATAGACCCTGGCTTGAAGAAGGGGCCAAGAAGCATTTGCTGGGTAGTCATGTTGACAAGTAATTAATACATGAGTGAATTAATGCATGTCACTGGAAGAAACATACAATGCAAGATCTTAAAATTCTTTAGAAACTAATTGTATTATAAGGCAAGTTATAGTTCTCATTTTTGAAAAGCCTTTGTTTTGAGATAGAGTCTTGCTATGTACCATAAATGATCAAAATATACAGTGAATATTTAAATTTTTAAAAATGTATTATATAGTAGGAAACACACTGCCATTAGTCCCCCTCAAAATACCAAAATACCCTCACTTCAAATACACTTATCCCACCATTCTTTGCAGTTTCTAAGCAGTTCTGGAAATCTTCCTTCATGTCTTTATGAGATGTGATTAAAAATGTGCTAAATGTTGGTGCTGAGGACCATCCAACAGAAAGGCGGGCTCATAAAAAGATAAGTGCATCCTCACCCACTTTATTCACTGGATGTGGCACAGTGCCACTTATGGCTCTTTCTCAAAGTCAAAGTGACCCTGAAAGGTGAGCATCTGAATTGGTTCAGGACACGGAGACAGCCACAACAGCGCAACTAAAGACACGCAAGAAAGAGGACCTCTGGAACTGCTTCAGAAAGTGACAAGAACAATGTAAGTGTGTTCAAAGCAAGGGGAAGGACTTTGAGGGAAATTAATGGGAATGTGTCTTTTACTGCATTTTTTAATCACACTCTGTAGCCCAAGCCAGCTTTGAACTTGCAATCTTCCTGTCTCAAAGAGTCCCCAGTGCTGGGATTACAAGCGCACACCACCATGCCCGACTGACTAAGGTTCATCCTTTTGTTGAAAAAAAGACGGTTGGGGATTTAGCTCAGTGGTTTAGTCGCCTGCTGCTTAAGCACAAGGACCTGAGTTCAATCCCCAGTAACAAAAAAAAAGAAAAAAAGAACAATATTGTATCTGCCCATAAAGTAAACACGGAATCTTAATTTTTCTGCAAATTTCTACTTTGTAAAAATTTGTCCCCCCCCAAAAAAAATTGTTTTCCCTTCCTTTCTAAAACTGTCCACAGGCATTTTCTCATCACAAAATTAATGTCTTTATTGTGGAAATACTTAAAGAATATGGGGCTGGACCCCGCCACCAAGATAGCTATTGTGTTTTTAATGTGTGATAAGTGTTTTATACATCTCTACAGGTGTATCTATACTCACTGAAGGTGGATCCTACATCTATCAGGCTTATCTTATGCAGCACCTCAAACCTTCTCGACCTTATCTGTCTCTGAAGGCCCCGGCCACCTTCTCCACCCCAGCTGTCCCTGGGATGACCAAATACATGTGGGCCCAACCAGCACTGTGCAGGCACAACCCAGCACAGACCAGAAGCCTCCTGTGCCCACGACTGGCTTCCTTCCCACTTCTGAGGTCCAAGAGCCTGTGACAGGCCACCTGATGTCCACAGGCACACAACCGGGAAGCTCTGGGGAATAAAGGGACCTGGGGCAAATCTTTCTCCAGTGAGGTACACAAACTGCCTTCCCTTCCTTTGGATGGTTGCCTTGGGGTGCAAAACTGTGCACGTCCTCCTGGGAGGCGTCCTGAGGACAGCAAGCAATCCACTGTACCCGAGGGTTGGCCAACTTAGAAATGCGCCTTTCAGTTGACTTACTCTTCCTTCTCTCCTCACTCCCCTTTCCCTCACCTCTGCTTCCTGAAATTGCACTTCCTGAAAATACAGTGGCACACACTCCAGATGCAATTATCCCTTGGGCCCTTGCCACAACAGCGCACCAGCCTGACTTCCACACACCAACATCTGCATCTCTAGCAGAGAGCTTTCTTTGGCATCCAGCACCTATTCAGCACCTGTTCACAGCACACTAGAGGTGCCTGACAAATGATGCCCTTCAGAGGAGCCCTCAAGCCATGACTGGCGGGAGCTGCTGTTTAAATATCCTCTGTTTCTTATCCCTCTATTTTACTTTCTTCTTTCTTTCTTTCTTCTTTCAATTTTGTGGTACAGGGGAATGAACTCAAGGGGTTTCTTATCCTTTCTGTGGGATAAGTAAGCCATGACCTCTAATTTGGCTCCAGAGTTCCCCAGTGAAATTGGGTTTGAGGGGAACTTGCTTGATTCCTACTTTCCCTTTCCTATCTCAAATCTCCCCTCCTGTGCCACTGTGTCCTGTGTGATCTCTAAATAAATTACTTGGACTTGCAGGTAGAGGGGAACAAACAGTACAATGGCAAAATCTGGCAGATACCACCTCAATTAACTTAACCACAATAATAATCACATCACACCGTGTGCTTCCTGATGGGTTCCCGAGAAGGTCACAGCACCCTTAGGTAGTGCTTCTACCCAGCTAATCATGACTCTAATCATGAAGAAACAAACATGCTGGGGAGACAGCACAGTGGTAGAAGCCTGCCAGGAACATGCAAGGCCTTGAGTTTCATCCCAGAACCACAATCAATCAATCAATAAAATAAATTACTCCAAATATACAAGGCAAATGATCTGGACTCTTCAAAAATGACATGTCTCAAAACTCAAAATGAAATAAAAGGGCTGAGGAACTCTTCTTACTAAAAGACACTAAAGAGACATGACAACTAAATACACTTGTTGCAAGCAGGCACGGAGGCCACTCTCGAGGCCAAAAGGCACTCAGGCCACCCCAGGGCTCACAGCAGCCAAAGGGAGACGGCGCATCTGCCAGAATTCCCAGGAGTCGAGCAAGCTCCCAAATGCCATGGTTTATTGGCAAGCGCAAGGTCCTGAATTCGATCCCCAGTACCGGAAAAATTAAAAGTTTCACATTTTGATATATTCAA